CCAGCATGTAGTCCTTCGCCTTGATGATTTGGCGCCATTCGAGGTTCTCATCCTGGACGACCTTTGTGGATGGCTTGTACGCAGCGGCGGGTTTTGCCAGCACGTTCTCTCCGTCAGCCATCAGGGTGAAGGTGCCCCTCGCCACTGAGTATTCCGTCCTCTCGGCCTCAAGACAGGCCTCCTTGGTGAAATAGTAGAGCTCAACGTACTCGAGTTGTTCGATCTTGTGGATCGCATAGCGGGAAGGTCGACGAGATGACAACTTCCCGACCGTCTTGTTCGGGGTGAAGGATTTTATCTTGGGCCGTTTGTTCTCCCTCTCACGCTTCTCAGCTTCGGCGGCCTCTTGCTTTGCTTGCTCCTGAGCTGCCCTAGCTTCCTCTTCTTCTGCGTGGTCTTGCTCGACCTGGGCGTTCCACGCGACTCTTTGCGCGTCGTTGTTCTGGGTCCAAGCATTTTGGGAGTCGGCTATGATAGCGTCCACTGTGCGCTCGGCGGTGGCTAAGGTGGCGTAAAGCGCCCGGAATTGTTCCGACTCGAAGTCGGGGGGTTGCACCAAGTGCGGGTCTTGTGTGATACGTGGCGGCATGTGTGGCCTGAAGTTGCTTTAGGTAGAGTGAACAGCAGAGATACAGCGCGTGTTGGTAGATACGATGAGAAAAGAAAAGCCCGCAACGCTGGACTGCTCTCAGCGTGGGCAGCAGGTGGCAGTCGAGGAGAAAGAGGTTCTCCTCACCTAACACTGCCACCGCTGATGCATAGACCGCACCCTAACCCTACGCTCGTACCTCACTACGTTATAGGCCAAAAACTTCGAGAAGAATCTCATCTGAGAACCTGGAGGGAACTGTAGAGGTCTACCTCGAGCTCCGCCTCGACGAATGTTTACAGTGGCTGCTGGACGGTCTAGTGAATGGATATCTTTATCTGAATCAGAGCAAGCCTGCTGTCCCGGAGTGGTACAAGTGCCGTCAAGACTTTCAGAACTGTTGAAATAGATATGCTGGAAAACGTCATGGGAGAAGAATTTTTTGAGGAGGTGGGTCAATCAGCAAAAAAGTAAGAGTCGTACCTGCTAAGCCCACAAAGTGGATTCTGTAAAAACTTACGGCTTTCATTGGCCCGTCGCCTCCGAAAACGCCGGTATCCGAACTAGTGATCAGGCCCACAACCATGGCGAATGTAAATTTGGTATATGGCCTTGTATTGCTCACGACAAATCGTCATGCCGAAGACGGGGAAACACTGACATGTCTGTATAATGTTTTGTGGGACGGAGGGAACCCATCGGTGAATTTTACGGCATCGTTGGCGTAAGTCCCTGTCGTCTGTCGTGTTCTCCTTGTTGGCCGAGTCGGCGGCGATGTCTCGTGAATCTATCACCTCAAATTTCTGTTACAGTATGTATATTTCACAGAGAAATCGTAGTCCCCAAGTGTTCACGGGATCCACTCGAGGCCTTTCTGACGTGCTCGATCAGCAGATCCGAGTAAAGAAAACATTACAGCAGTGTAAAATAAACACACTCGCCTCTCTTCTTTCCCATTTCCACCAACATTTTTCACGGGCCCTTCTGGTGCGTCTCCTCTAAACTCACGACGGGCGGTGAACGGCCGCCCGGTCACATCAGCCTGTTTAAGTATGCCACAGGAGCGCAGTAGGAACGCATATGGGTTTGAGGCACTCACAAGGTTTAGAGAGATGACAAATCATTCTATTGAATACCGTACAGGGTCCGTTCATCGTCCCACTTCCCGCTCGGTAGCGGTGGTTCTCCCGAAAACTTGCTGGGTATAAGTCGACACTTCTGAGCTTCTCTGTCGCTTCGTGGCTCTATAGGGCATCACGTATACCACCAGTGAGTTTTCCTTTTCCCAACCTCATCGAAAGTTGACGTAGAACTCGCCGCCATCTAGTCCAGAAGCTCCACGCGTCAAGGTTTTCTCCTCTCGTTATATGGCATTTGCACAAGGCCGCATATATTGCGAACAGTGTAGGGCAGAAGTTGAAGGGGAAAGAGATGGAGGAACTCTAGGTTTACCTGGAGCACTCAAGCAACCCCAACAAGAAATCCCCGGGAAGGTCGCGAATTCGAGTCCGACGACCTCCTGCTGTGACCCATGCCGCAAAATCGAGCACCTCACAGCGCAAATCAAGCAGGCAAAAGCTCATATTGCTGCACAAATGGCCAAGTCGGAAGCCCACATCACCACCCTTACATCCCAGCTCTGCGCAGCCCAAACGGCGCGCAACGCACTCCATGACCCGCTCGCTCAACGCCTTCCACCCGAAATCGTCTCTTATATCTTCTATCACGCCTGCCCATCACCCCCTCCTCCGTCGCTGCCAAGCACTTCGCCGCAGAGGCCTCAAGACTTCCGATATCTCAGGCGAGCACAGGCCCTCGTCCTCGGTGCAGTGTGCAAAAGCTGGCGGTTGGTCGCGTGGAATACTCCCGAGCTCTGGACGGACGTGTCCGTTCACTTTGAGAGCGAACTGCGGACGGGCCGCGAGCTCAAGTTCATGGAAGACTGGTTTTCCCGCTCGGGTCGCCTTCCTGTCTCTCTCCGACTCTCAGCGGTGGTAGACTATACTCTCTCTGTCTGGGGGATAGCGCAGGTGGAGGAGCAGCGCAGGAGTGTGGTGGAGGCCATTAGTACGAAGCATAGTGGGCGTTTGCGGACGTTGGAAGTGACTATCCCGGACCCCCTGTTCTGGGACGTGATTTCGGAGCTGCGGGTCGGCCCAGGGCTGGAGGAGCTCAGCATACATTCGGAGGTACGGACGGGTGCATGGATGATGCCTAGTCTGCTCCGCAGCTTGAGCACCTCTGCCCCCCTCCCAGCGCCGCGTACGGTTCGCGTGACCTCTGTACCCCCTACCGACATCAACATCTCCTGGAAGAACGTAACCCACCTCGAGCTCCAGTCGGTCGAGGAAGGCGCATGCTTCTCCATCCTCCAACAAGCCCCGTATGTGGTATCCTGCAAGTTCCTTCAAGTGTTACCCGATTCTGCCCCACCGCTCCCAAGCAACGCATCTTCGGCCTCCCTACCCTCACCTATCCCCATCGTCCTCCCATGCCTCAAGTATCTCCACTACAGCAACAGCAACCGCCCGCGTGCCTTTGCGTCAGGCTTCACCTTCCCTGCGCTCCAGGAGCTCTCACTTACTGTTGACGGCCACCTTCCCTCCGCAAGCCTGATCGCCCTCCTGACGCGTTCAGATGCACCTCTCCGTACACTCGAGCTCATTGGATGGACAAATGACGACGAAGATGGCCTAATGGGCCTCCTGCGCGTAGTATCAAGTCTGCAGGAGTTGCATCTGTGTCCGTCGCCGCTAAACCCGCGTGGTGTGTCGGAACGCTTCTTCCAGGCTTTTTCTACCCTGCAACCCAAGAGCCATGCCGGTGCGCATGACCAACAGAAACGCACAACCACATTCTTGCCAAATTTGCAGAAGTTGGGGTATCAAGGTCGGGTAACATTCTCATGGAGTGTGTTGCGATGCCTCCTTCCGTACGCGTCCTCGCTCTCCCAGATTCGTGGTGGTGCCTCCAACACGAAGGAAGGCGACATGACACGATCCTTGCACACCGTCCGCCTTGAGCTTGGGATGCACAGGACTAACTTCATCGACAAGGACGTCGTCCTGCGACTGCTGGACGCCCAGCGGCGTTTCGGGATGGTGTGGAGCATTTCTCCTGCGTCTCAGAGCTCTGACCACGGCATGTTCATGAACGCTGGCGATTCGCTGCCTCCTGACTTACTTCTGGCGTCAATGGAGCATCATCAGATACAGATCGAGGGTGAGAGGGATGGTTAATCAAGCAGCAATCGAGATAGCAACGTACTCTATACCCTGTATATTTTGTGCAATCTAGTAAGGTCCTCTGGTTTAGTCAAATATCAATGTATCTTTTATTCACAGTTGAAATAAACATAGTTACAAGTAAATCCTTTCAAATACAGCGCCATACCCGACCGTCCAGTAATCGGGCGATAGCATAGCGCTGGCGTTTGAAAACAACAACCATGGGTCAACATCGTGTATTGCACATCATTTGGTATCTGCGTCCTCCGTCTGGTATATTCCATGATGCTTCATCGATTCACTGAAGAAGTCCTCCATGTTTGTACCCCCTGCACGATCAAAGTACCTTTGTTCGACCTCGAACTCCAATCCTTGTTTAGACCGCCTGTTGAGGAAGGCGAGAACGACTTCTCTGGGAATGTACGGTCGTGTTCCGTGGTCCACCAACGACACGAATCGAATCGAAGTGAGCGATCGACCTCCGACGAGCTGCAGAAGAGACCCCCAAAGGAAACTACTCGTATCGCCTCGATACCAAAAGGTCCTCAGATTCGGGAGGAACGCAGGTGTGTTATCCTGCGAAAATAAGCCGAGAAAGTGGTCCGTCATGCCCCCCTTCCAGGAGGACATGATATCAAGGTCCAAATCCTGCACACTAGGGAGGTTGGAGAGTAAATCGACCAGTTCTCCTTCTGATTCGAAGGAGTCGCCTCTGAGGTACAATCTCTTCAAAGTACACACGGAACGCAGGACAAGTTGCTTGATGCCTTCGAGCGGCAACTCGTTGTCATTGGATTGGTATCGAATTTCTTCAAGGGATGGCAAAGTCAGGGCGTTCAACAGAAAGAGGGCATCTCTTACGTCCAAGCAGTCCAGCACTTTAAGTTGTTGGTGGATGAGAGGGGTGATATAACCATCCAAGAGATCTTGATGTCGTCGAATCGCAGACGCGCAAGTTTCACGATGGACGGTGCAGGGATGTCGATGGCGCTGGAAGACCCGAAAATCTGGAGCTTTTGACGGTAGTCGAATTTGTTGGGAATTAGGGAAAGGTGGAGAAGATTGGGGAAGCCACGCCTCAGTTGTGGGGTTATGTAAAATAAATCCCAAGTCGAGATTCGGATGTCGAATGAGCGCCAGCGCTCTGAATATCGGTTGAGGATGCTGGCAAATGTCTTCCAAGCGTCGTCGTGGTCGAGTTTCGACTCGTGATTCTCCCGGTCCCATGGTGAATGGATGGTGAAGCTTTGAAGCTTGAAGGATAATGGTAGACTTCCTGAGCGGGCGAAGCCTTGTTCGAAGAGCTTCATTCGGCTGACAAAGGTCACATAGGCTACAGGCTTGTCGACCTTAAACGTCAACGAAGACCAAAGGCCGGGCGTCTCCCATGCGATTTTTCTCCAGGTGAGACATACAGCTCCGAGGGCTAACGGCGAATCGTATGACTCTAAATCCACGCTCTCTCCGGAGGAGAACACATGGAAGCTGAAGATGCGCGATATGACTTCGGGGGGAAAAGTTCGTGATAGAGGGTCGTGCGCTCGATTCTGCTTCGCTTTAATCGAAGGTCGACGTTCTCTGAGGTGGGCCAGAAAGGCTTCCACTTGTGAAATTTGCGTATCCAGATCTTGTAGCTCGCGGCACGGTTCACAGGCTCCTCCGTCGAAGATCCTGCACCGAGACTTGCGGACTGCGCGTGTATGTCCCTCTGCAAGTACGTTTCGGCAGCGACTGCATAGGTCCATGCTTGTCATCTAAATAGTCAAAATAGACAGTCAAAAAGTTACTGAAAGCGACAAGAATTCTGACGATACCTTAGGGACTAGTTCCTGGAGATGGCCGTTTAAGTGGAGTTCCACGTTCATAATCAACGCTAATCAACAAGTCCGACGAGCCAGACTCGTGTCCACAAATTACTAATCAGGTAACGCTTCCCTCCGCCGAGCTCCCAGGACCCGAATAACTTTCTACTTCATGGCAGCACTCTCCAGTGCCAGCAGCTACAATGCCTCCGCAATTCTCCAGGCGCAACCTCTTCCTCCTAATCCTTATATCGATGTCGTCCAGTCAGCGCTCTACAACGCGTATGATCAATGTCTTCAAGCCGAGTGGGCAGCAGGCAGCGACCTAAAGCTCCTCATGTACGCTCGTTGCTTGGGCTACTTGATCCATGAGGCCCCCGATGACGAAGCACGGTGCCACGTTTCGGAAGAAATTCTGTTGTGCGAGAGAGATCCGGAGTCAATGAACTTACTGGCTCAATTTTATATTGATCATTTATTTCGCCTTTGTGAGTGAACCTCGCAAGTAAGAACTGCAACCTTCTTCATCTTCTCGTAGTTCGCCAGAATAGAGGGCGCACACCCTCACCATCTCGTCATTCAAGCTGCCCCTACCCCGAAGATTTCCTTTCATCTACGGTTGACCCAGCTCCTAAAGAACACACTGCAGCTAAGAATGCGGTGAGCACGACGTCTGTGTCAAAAGTTTACAATTATTCCTTCCTATATAGGCCCTGCGACGCGACAATTATCGCTGTATGGTCACCGGGGCCGTCGATTTGTATAGTTTCAAAAATATGACGGATGACCAAAAAGCCGCGCATAACCTCACCAGCGTTTTTAATATCGCGCACACCAACTTTTGCCACATCTTCCCTCCTTCAATCAACTGGGATCTCAAGCCGGATGAGCACGGACACCCTAAAGTTTTCTCCCCTTTATTCCGTTCCCGCATCGAATTACTGATACCCATTTTGGTAGACCCGCTATTCAGGAAATATATGGGACATGGTCAACTGCTTCGGTGGCATTAATGTCCTCAATGAGCTGAATGGTGACATGGCTCATAGGTCGTCCAATGGGCTGAGCATGAGCATGGAACTGCGTCACTATTTTGATGACTTTAATATGTGGTTTGAGGAAGTTCCGGTGAGTTAAATCAGGCATATGCAAATATCGATGGACTGAATCTACCCCTAACGAAGAACAATCTTCACACTTATCACGTCTGCTCCGCGTTCCCGCGCCTGCAAGGTCTTTCGCAGCTTGGGCCGAATCCTGTTGTCACGTTCGCCACAACGGCCGACTTGGAGCTGCCGGACCCCAGGTACCTCAGGCTCCATGCCGCTATTTGTCGAGTCGCCCATATGTCTGGCGTTGCTAGATACTTGAACTCGTATGACCGCGAGCTGGAAGAGCGGAAGGTCCTGGCTCCTGATGGCTCTTCGGGGGAGTTGCTCTCTTCTCAGCTTCGTAGAGCGCTTCTTGTACGCACAGCTTGAATTCGCTGGATTGCCTTTTCCTTGTACTCACGGAAAACTCCAAGCCCAAAGATTCACGGTTTTTTGGGGCATCCTCTCTCGCCAACGCTCTGATCCGAGCTTTGCTCAATTGGCCCGAAAAGCATCGTCCGGAAATCAAAATTTCCTGGTGGATATTGTCTGTCTTGTTCTGTCATCCGTGGGTCCAACCGAACGTTTGGAAATGTTCTGCCAAGCTCCGAGACTCAGATGTGTCCAGAAAGAAGGGACATGCTACTGTCGGGTTGTCTCCTACGTTTCTGCTAATGCTTAAGGTCTTCTATTACCCAGGGAGGACCAACGAACGTTTGGGAAGCAGTATTGTGCACTCCATTTCACGTAAACTCGCCCAACATGATGAGCAGACCGCTCAGCTTGAACACGGTCTATATTCAAGCCAGCAGATGGCACCCTCGTCGTTCGGGCCAATCGATCCGAACGTGGGGGGTGTAGTTCAAGATAGAGAGAATCGGTAAACGACGTACCGAACACTTCGTGCCACGGCATTGTATTCCTCTGGAATCACAAACCATTTCGAAGAACCCGTCCAGTGGCAGCACCATTCAATCTGATAATCTTGCGAGAGGGAGGGGAATCACGTTTGGTGATAAAGAACCAACCAACTTGATCGATAAAAGGCATCGTGGGTTCTGGTTTCGTGAAGTCGTGTTCATGGAACAAATCGTTTTGCACTATTGGAATACAAATGAGAATAAGACGTAGGATATACCTGTTATCGTTCGTCGGGTATGTATATTCCATGGTGCTTCATCGACTCGTCAAGCCAATCCTCGGGCGGTATACCAGTTAAGTCGGCATTGGCATTCATTCGATCTAATTTGAATCGCATCCCCTGAGCAGCGAGGATTGCGAGGACGGCTACTTTTGGGATGTATGTTCGCGGACTATTACCATTCAACACCGACTGGATGTGAACCAGACTGAGGGGTCTGGCAGGCTGCTTGGGCGATGCTTCGAAAGAACGAGACACTGCAAGCTGTACAAGATATCCCCAAGGAAAGTTCACTGTGCTCCCCTTGTAAACAAATTTAATGAGGTTCGGGAGGAAGTTTGACATGGAGCCGCAGTGAGAAAGTAGAGAGAAAAGTCCTGCGGGGTTCGCGTTCCATGGCAGTGGGCAATCGAGCGTCAACACCTCCACGCTCGGGAGGTTGAAGAGCAGGTCCATCAATGCTTCTTCCCTCCTGAATAGGTCGCCATGAAGGCAGAGTCGTTTCAGTTGGCAAAACGAGTGGAGGACGAGCTCCTTGATATCTGCATACGGAAAGTCGAGGTGACTTGCATTGTAGTATTGAATTTCTTCCAGGGACGGCAACAACAGCGGTCTGACTAGCGCTGGGAAGTCCTTTGGTCCCATACAATCCAACACACGGAGTCGGGGGTGAGTGAAATGTGTCGTGTTCTCCGGGGAATTCATTGAAGAAGCGTAAGTATTCCTGAGCTTGAAGTATGTGACTTGCGTCGCTCTCCTCAGGAAATCAAGGCACTGTTTGTTGTCCATATGGGATAGCTCTAGATGAACCACGTTCGCCCACGAAATGTTGATCTCGTTCAGTTGCAAACGGGCGAGCTCAACGACGGTAGGTGCGGGAATATCGGTGGGACTGGCGGATCCAAAAAGCGTGTACGGGTGGAAGCGGTCGACTTGGTCAGGGATGAGGGTGAGGTGTCGAAGGTTAGGGAACCCACAGGCCAGCCCGCGTGCAATGGTCGAGTAGTACCATACTGGGAGTTGGAAGTCGAGCACGCGCCAGCGTTTCGAGTACCGATCGAGGATCCCGATGAGGGTCTTCCACGCTGCGCCGTCACCTCCAGGCCCGTGAAAGAGCATTTTCGATGGCGAATAGATAGAGAGGGATAATGGAAGACCTCCTGAGCAAGCAAAGCCTTCTTGCAGGACCTTTACTCGTGTACCCAGGCTCTTGTCGATTGTTTGGCTTGGTGACTTATCGATCAGAAGTTTCAACGAGGACCAAAGACTGGGTGTGTCCCATGCGACCTTTCTCCAGGCCCGACATACGGCCCCAAGAAATAATGGTGATTCGGTCGATTCCAAGTCGACACTGTCGCCGGATGAGAAGACGTAGAAACTGAAGATGCGCGACATGATTTCTGGGGGAAGTGATCGCATGAGATGGTCGTGTATTCGATTCCTCTCTGTTTTGATTGACGGTAAACGACGTTTGAGGTGTTCTAAGAGGGTTTCCACCTGGATTATCTGCACCTCTAGCTCTTGCAACTGGCGACACGGTCCACAAGAGCTTGCTCCTTCGACAACGTTGCAGTCGTATTCGCGGAGGGAAGGTTGCGTTTTCGCTCCTTCAGCGAGCACACTTCGGCACCGACGACACAGTTCCATTGTACCAATATGGGTGCTAATAAAATTCGGTTTAAATGGCTCATATTGCTGTTGAGGGAGCACGGACCTCTGGATGGTAGACGCTTGGTGCAGAAAGGTGATGCTATTTCCGGACCGGCAATGCCCTCTTAGTCAGCCATTTACCGGCCCTAAGTAACTGTTTCCCGCATTGATGTCCAAGTGCGCCCGCAAAGAACTCAGTTAGGACCCGGGAAGCTCTTGGCATTTGGTGTCCGAAAATTTGCGGATTTGAGGCCAAATTTTGGTAAATCTCTGTCCGGAAATTGCGGATTTGAGGGGACTTTTCGCAGATCTCTGTCCCAAATTTGCGGATTTGAGGGCTCAAATTAGGAGTATTTGACCCAACATTTATACCATCTGGGCAGTGTTAAGGCTACTTATGTAAACTATCATGAGCCTGATTTGTAAATCGCACAATATCATAAGTAGTGTACCGAGAAAATGAATAGAGATTAGATTTCTCGATGAACAACTGGCCAGAGATCACCCAAAAACCAACTACACCGAATATAGCAGAAGAGAAGGCCAACTTGCTTTCACGGGCAGCCGGTGGTGTTCGACGCATCCATTGCACGGAAATTACTTCATGCGACAATGATCCTGCTCTTCGGGCATTGGCATGAAGTTCAACGGGCAAGGGCAAGCCATTCCTCCTGTACCATCCCCTCTGAAAACTCACATTCTGGGGGAAAATGAAGTAGATGTCAATTTTCTACATGTATGCGAATTAAATACATCTCGATGGTGCATTTTTCGCTTGTTTTTCGCCCTCGAGCATGCGGAAACTACCTCCCGCGACGACAGCAACTGGTGGTGGAGGTGCCAAGAAAAAATTCCCTTTTGGGGCCTCACGTGACGACCCCTGTCCGAAATTGCGGATTTGAGGGCGAAATTACGCACCAAATGCCAAGAGCTTCCCGGGTCCTACTCAGTTTTCCGGATATTTCATCATAACTTTCTCAAGCTTCCTTCTCACTAACATGGAAACTCGCAACGAGTACAAGAATGTGCTATGTAGCTTGACGATAAACGGTATGGGCGGCATTTTGGAACGATACCTCCCCGTTGGTCTCCTCCCTAGTAAAACGTCTTTCAGGTCGAAGAGTGTGTCGCTTTACGGGTGGCTGGTCTTTTTCATATCTCGTTACCTCAGTCCTATAAACAACTCGCTCTGTGCTATTTGAAACACTTCTGCTTCCTGATCGCCAATTCGCGTCGTTCTGAACTGTTGCCAGCATTCCCCAACCTACGAACCTTCGACTGGCTCCTAGATTCCTTTCTCCTTCCTCTGGGACAATGGTTTATAATGGTTCTGGTCCTGATGGCACCGCTCAGTTGCGCAGAGTGATTGAGATTTGATGTTCAAGATGCTTTCGCCGCTTTGGTCACAGGAGTAATGCAACGCGAGCTCTTCTTGGCTCGTCAAAGCACAAATCGCGCTCCATCCTGAAATGGGGAGAAGGGATGGACCTACATCATCCGTCTCGCGTTTGGCACGGTGAATTCCTCCCTGTCGCTGACCAACGAACTCATCCAGATTGACTTCGCCGATTTGGACCTTAGATACAATCTTGAGGCATAGTTCGAGGCTTCTCCTTTCTTTGCAGAATTGAGAACACAAATCGAAACGACGAATCCGACGCGCCGGTCTCGTCCGAATTCGAATTCATAGGTCGGAATTCTCACCTGCATGGCATTCACGCGATTGTTGATTCTTGCCTTAGCTAGTGCATCATACAATACTTCAGTGCTACGGACACTTCGGGAACGAGTACCTTCGCAAGCTCCGCGGCCAGGTAAACCGGGTAAACGACGAAGCATTACCCTTTCGACACCCCCGAACCGCGCTGCTCCACCAGAAGTATTTCGGGATGCACCCAGCTAAATGTTAAATACCCTGGAGACACGGGCGAGATGCTGTTCCCTCGGCCACTTGCTCTGGAATTCAGCTGCAGGGCGGTACCACTCGTGATTTCCATGCACCCGACGGAGAGCAGGCAGCCATGGGCGCTTATTATCGTCGTGGCACTCCTGTTTTGTTTCGAAAATCAGCTTGCGAGTACCGTCATCGGCGCCGCCTAATGAATTGAAGAAAATGGAGCTTTCTGTTCGATGATAAGGACGGCTATCTATTTATCGTCTTTCTGTTGATCTTCCCCCTACATATGTTATTAAGATCTCTTGAAGCGCGCTTAGGCGGCGGCAGCGGCATATCGTTACATCGCTCAGTAAGCACCTGTGACTCTAAGCACAATCTAACTGAGTTCCTTTCGCCGCTCGTTTAGGAGTCTTCTAGGGCTTCTTTCCTTATCCTGCGTAGTAGCCTTAGGGATACTCTTTTGATGGAGGTTGAAGCTACCAACCCAGATTGTAGGATCACGCTGCCCAGTCCGCTGTATCGACTGCAGATCCCACAGTCCGCATTTGGAATTTTGGATCAGCGGTTGTCCTCTCCCTCCTGCTTTTTTCCTTCCTCCACTGTAGAAAATTGCTCTTGATGAGCTATCCCCCTCTATGGATTCCTCTGCGCCGATGCGTGACTTGCTGGCCTCGTCGTCGACTACATCCGGCATCGTGATGGCTCTCACGAAAGAACAGCTGGACAGCATTGAATTTATCTGCGTTTCGCGCTACGGGATTTTAATCACATATTCTGTGCTCATCTACGAATGGGTAGCCTGGTGAGTCTTCAGCTAATGCTCTCATCGTCTTCGCGTAGAGCGACCATTGCGTTCGAGCTACTAAACTGGCCTCAGCTTCCAGGACGAGGTTAAGCTCGTATGTTCTCGCTCCACCACTGCCAGCGTTACTATGCACGATAACTGATCCTTATTCGAAGATCTACCGTAGGCGGTGGTCGTATGTGTCCATGGCCTACACGCTGTGCCGTTACTATCCCCTGCTGATGTGGGGCGTCGTGGCTTGGTCGTATACCTTCAACCACACTCCCGGGATTTGCAAGTCTGCGGTCAGACCAGTACATGCACTACAGCTTCCCCTGGTAAGCTCAAGAATCATTACGTATACGCTGCAGACTGTTGACATTTTGTTTGCCCCTTCAGCAATTGTTCGGCCAAGGTGAGAAACTGGCATGGCAATATGTTGTCGGAGCCCCTGACCACCGTGTACTAGCTGTGATGGTTATGCGGGCCTACGTCTTCTCAGAGAGGAGCAACCTTGTTTTGGCCATACTGTTGTCTGGCTATGGTGTCTTGGTTGGCGCAGTGGCATATCTGTTCCTTACGGATGTTCCCCTTCCCGTCCACAATCCCTCAAGTCCTGTATTTCTCTTGGGAAAGTCTGGCTGCTTTCCTGACTACAGCGAGAAGGCATTTGGACTCCGGATTGGCGTAGGTAGCATCTTCTTGACCTTGAAGCTCGTTTCTGACGTATTTCTGCTCGTCCCAGCTTGCGTTGGTCCTGACCTTCCATTCCTCTCGCCGGCCTCTCGCTCACACACAGCCTAGGTTTCTGCAATGCTTGTCGACTCGCTGAATTTGCTCGTCGTGTCCTTTGTCCGTGCCTTTTTTTACTTTCAATACCCTCCAGACTCACGGAATACGCAGTACTCCTGGAAGAGATCACGATACGGACGTTCGAAGCTCACATGTTTCTTCTCCAAGCAAGGTTCTCCCTTTCTCCATCTTCGCCGCTGATGAGAAGGTCTAACGGTTTTCAGGGTTGAATGCATTCGTTTGGATGACTGTCAGCAATGTTATTACGCTTGCGCTCTATTTTTCGTGAGTGACTTTGGCGGTTGCCTTTATATAAAGCTTGGAGACCTGAACCTTTCTGTCGTCTAGTCAAGACAATGGAATCGGTGTCCCGTTCGTCCTCGTCATTTCGAATATCTTCGTGAGTCGCATGCCTTACCATTGCAACGTCTAAATCTTATTCAACACCTGCGGTCCAGGCCTGCAGAATGTGAGTGACACTTTGTTAGAAAACCACTAACTTTTGACGAGCTTACACCCGCACTCAGAATTCTCCAACTTCGTTCCGGGTCATGGCAAACCGGCACTCAGCTATCAAGGGACAACTCCCAAATGATTCGGGATGCCCTGGCCAAGCTTCCGCCGCCGCAAGACGAATGGGCCGTCAGTGTTGACCTTTCTGCTGAAGACGAAGACGATGCTCCTTTAAGAAGGTCTGGAGAGGTATGAACAAGGGCAGCGGAAAGCACACCAACCACCATCGAGCGCAAGTCCGCATGCTGGCGCATTTCAAGTCGCCGTCGCCTTGCTAGCTATGGACTTTCCCTCAAATTCCGGCATTCGTAGCATCGGCTCCTTCTTTTCGACCACTTTCTTTCTTCATTGCGCGCTTGTGCGCTGGAGAGCCTCGAAGACGGCGCTCCTCAGGATCTCAATGATTGAGCTCAGCAGGATTAAGATCCTCAACTTACACATCGGCGTCAAGGGTAAAGTCGGTGGAAAATCGACGAATGCATCCTCTGGGGATTCTTATGTCTCAAGGAGAAGACGGCCGAGGTGCAGTAGAGTTTTGGATCGCTGGGAGAACGGGCATGTTCTGACTCACACTTCAATCTTCGAGTTGGGAAAAGGCAATGAGAAAAAAGTGAATAGTTGTATAATAATATCTTACTTGGTTTAGTCTTCTCTACATGGTCGATTCTTGAACGAAATACTAGACTCATCTAGTCAGTGGTCAGAGTGGAATATTACCACGTGATGCGACGCGTCGCGTCACGTTGAAATCAAACAGCTTCTTGACAAACTCCACCTCTTACTGCATTGTGCAACATTGGAAAGCTCTAACAGGCCTCTGTTGTCAATTTTCAGCAAAAAACTTCCGATTCTCCACCTCAACCATGTCCAGTCTTGTCATTCCTCTGGTCTCAACCACACTTCCGACGTGTAACCCGAATCTCATGCCTTTCCACATCGACTACGATGGTCCAGCACTTGTCTCCGCGTTCATGCGCGTGAGCCCGTTAAAGCAAGAAGATTCACCATCCAAGATAGCTCCCCCAGCCGTAGAAGGCGAGGAAACTGCAGGAAACGCGTCTGCGGACGCGATGAACGTCGATTCTGCCACGGCGGTCGCCCTAGCCGAGCCAACCGCGACGTCGAGCACCATAGACGTGTCAACTTCACAGTCTACCGACGTCGATATGGAAAACGCGACGAAGGACACTAGCCAGGCACCGACGCCACCTGCCATGACGCGGTCAAACACAGAATCGACCCTCGTGGTTGAGTCCCAGGCGTCCAGCTCCACGTCGATATTATCACAGTCCACGCTCCAACAGCTTCCAGCAGCAGCTTCTACCTCCATGTCTGTCCTCGATGAATTGGAAAAACGCGTCGTATCGAGCTTCCGCGGGCGGACGATCCATGGATTGTTGATTGACCTCCCCCCAGGGTACTCCGGGCTCGTGCTAGAGAGCGAGGGTGACGCAAACACCCATCCGGCAAAACTAGAGACGAAGGAAAGGGAAAAGGAGAGCGAGGAGAGCACGAAGGGCAAGGCGAAGACGAAAGCAAAGGCTGCACCGAAGGCGAGCAGCAAGCCCCGCGGAAGGCTGGCACGAAGCGCTGCTTCGAAGAAACCAGAGGTCATCGAGATCGAGGACGAGGATGAGGAGATGCCTGAGGCTTCAACATCGTTAAAGGAGAGTCAAGAACCGACAGACGACGCCGAGCCACCCCAAGATGCACCCTCGACGCGTAGTTTGGTGCCCAAAGCCCAATTTTCTTCTTTCACGCTGTGGCATGCGGATAGACCAGTGGAGAAGACTCGGGACGAGTACTTTAGGACGTTGGAGGAGTGGATTGCGTTGTCTCATGAGGTGAGCTTTCTTAGTCTCTTCTTCGACATTATTCTCATTCTCTCGATGCTAGATTCATCGAACAGACATAGCATTCGAAGATTAACACATAAAGTCCCTACTCGAAGGGTACCATGTAAATTATTGCATGCCGACTCTATGTCTATTCACGTCCCAAGTGCACTCCTTCATAGCTTCATAATCCATCCCCCGAAACTTGGCCGACATCTCCACGAAGTCCCTCTCCTCGAACAACACCTCAAGGTTCATCCCTGGATTGCGCTGGCGATACTCCAGATACCCTTGGATCTGGCCCACATCTAAATAATGATCAGAGTGCTCGCACGCAGGCACCGTGATCGATATCGTCGAGAGTGGCCGCTCACTCGTCTGCGAGATGAAACGCCCCTGGCAGTCCGAGGGCAACAGCGACATCAGCGAGCGCCAGGAGAACATCACCGGCCCACGGTACTTCACACTGCGTAAGTTGGGGAGGAAGATGGAGGAGTGGCGGCTGTCAGCATCCACTTCCCCGACACGCTGCGCAAACGCCTTGAAGAAGCTCTCGGCGTAGAAGTAGATCATCGGGTGGACGCTCAGCGACTCGAGCGACGGGAGCATGCGCAGCAGCTCGACGAGGGTGTCCTGCTCGAGCCGCCCGCGGATATCGAAGGTCTTCAGCGTGCACCCCGAGCGCAGGATGAGGGTCTGGATGCTCGCCATAGGGTCGTCGGACGAGTCGGCGGAGTAGGAGAGCTCTTCAAGCGCAGGGAAGACGCCTTCCATGATTATTCGTGGGATGTTATTCGAGGAGGGCATGACGTGGAGATGCCGCAGGTGAGGGCAGGTGGTGTAGGTGGACGATGAGGGTAGAAGGTTGTCTCGGCTTGGCTGGTCCGGCTGGACGAAGTTGACGACGTAGGAACGGAGTTGGGGTGTGTGCTGGAGGATTTCGAAGGCTGCGGTGTCCTGGCAGAGCTTGAGCTCGAGATACGTTACTTTGCTCCATGAAATCTGCAACCACTGTGGTCGGACAAACCATAGCACGACGTTGGTGGGCGATGTCATTTGCGTGGACGAACCGAATATCTGGAAGGTCTCGTTGAGCTGTGTGTAATCCCGGTAGAGGACGATGCGGTCGAGGTCTGGGGATGCTTCTGCGCTGGTGAAGAGTTGCCGGTAGAGTCGTGTGGCCATCTGTGCTTCAATGACTTGACATCGCTGGCTGTATTTCCCGATAAGTTGGGTGAGGAAGGCCACCCATGTATCCTCTGCCTGGAGGAGATGAGCGACCTTCGAAGCCTCCAGATGCAGAGACAACGGTAGCCGCCCCGAGCGGGATAGCCATTGCTCGATGATCTCTTGGTGCAATTCCAGCTTGTCCGAAGAAGGGACCGATATCGATATCCTCGTCCAAAGCTGCGGTGTCCTCCACGCGATCTCCCTCCATGGCTTGCAAACTGCTCCGAGGATAAGTGGCAGCGGCAATCGTCTTGGAGAGTAGTGTTGACTGCGAGATTCGTAGTCTGCGGCCACGCAGCAGGCGAAAATGCGCGATACGATTTCGAGGGGCAGGTTTTTGAGCATCGGGTCGTGGATATGGTTTCTTCCGGTCTGCAATGGATACCGGCTACGCTTGAGCCGCTCGAGGTAGCCTTCGACGTTGACGATTTCCGTGTCGATGTCGGCCAGCTGGCGACATGGCTCGCAGGGCGCACCGCCTGATACGACGCATCCTCGTCTATCATCTTGATTGCTCTCTCCATCTCGGTCCTGTCGACAACGGTCGCAGAGCACAACCTGGCACTGGCATGATGTCATTTGGTAAATTTTGAATCCTGTGGATGTAGTTTGGAATCTGGGGTGGCATAAAACATTTCAGAAATCAGGGACTCACTTTGAAGAGAAAAGTTGTGCGAGACGGCGCTGGGGAAGGTGGTGGGAGGAAGAAGGTTGGAAAAATTGAAGATGGACCGCGCGTGAACTGTGGTTTCATCATGTTGAGTTACGTGACGTAAAGGTCTTTCTACGCTCTCGATTGCCTCCGTTCGCAGGCTTGAACTTGATGTCGCGGCTCGTCGCGGTGATCACCAAGGAAAGAGTTGGGTCAAACCCGGCACGCTTACGTACTTATCTATCTCGTAGAGATTCTAATCTTATCGCTCGGGCCAACTCTACAGAACTCTACCCTCTCGTTTCACGGATTGAAGTTAAGAGACGCTGGTCAGTGGAAAGATACATCATGACAGATCGTCCTCTAGAAACACCAAAGAACTGCCAGACATGTCGGTCCGTAGACACATAATCACATAAACGTAACAGGCGCCCGAATTATGGCCATCACACGTCACAGGCCTCTCCACGAGAGAATCACAGATAAGTGTATAGCGGTATGGCGTAAGTAAGTACCTAGTAAGTGGCAACAAGACCTCACGGCGCCCGAATAATTCTCACTACCAAGAGGAAGAGAGAATTTTTGTCCCGCTACCTCCCGCCGGCTGCGCCACACCCGAGCGCCAAACCATTGTGCCCGAGATACCTAATTCAAACCAGATGATTTTGGGAATCCCTTCGGAACTTCAGAAGTTCATGGATCTAACCCATAGCTTGGGTTCCAATGATGTCGTGGGCTTAAGAGTACCAAAATCATTACTTATTAATTCATCCAGTATTTCATTCACTACTTTCTCCTCCTATAAATACTGGTAGCTTAAGCGATAGCGAACCCTTGGGGTTGAGACAGCCGTCCTCAAAGTCGCACTCAAAAAAATTCCTTTTCCCCCTCCTTAACCTTTGCCCGACGGCGCCGAAGACGGAACCACACGCACAAGCCGATTACCAACAGCAATGCCGAAACCACAACGAGCGCTCCAACGATAGGCGCCACCACCTGTGCGCTCCCTCCACCACTCGCGCTGCCATCGCCATTCGTGACCTCCGTGTACGCGAGGGACAACGGCATCTCTCCCGTGTTCCCGAGGTATTTAACAATCAGCGTATGATTTCTTACCGCACGCGCAGGCGTCTCGAAGTACTTCTGGTAGAGCTGGGGCCCAGACCCACGTTCGAATCCCCAGATGTCAAATTGGACGGGCGCCTCGTTGTCTACCTGGTAGCTCGCTTTGGAGGGTGCCAGGGTGCTGTTCGCGAGATGGGTGTACCAAGCCACTGAGGTGCCTGATCAATGCGCAAGACGAGCGGTTAGCGAATTGAACGGAATATAGTTCGGATTCAGGAATTCGCACCTGTAAAAGCGAACGAAATCGTCGCATCCCGCTGGTCGCTAAATCTGTCTACGTTTCCGAAGTTGGGCGTAGTACTGAAGGATGCCTCGGGGCTGTACCTAATCTCCGGATCGCCAAAGTCGACCTGGATGACTTCAGTCGTCGGGAGCGGGGACTCGTCCAGGGCGCCGTAAGCGATACGGTCAACGTAGAAGTTCGCTCCGTCGCTGGTGACCTTGGCTCCAAATGTATGCTCGCCTGGGGAGAGGTGGTCGAATTTGCAGTAGACGAAGTTGTTGAACGATGTGGGTAAGTGGGTGCCTCGGGGCTGCTCCCTGGAATTGCCGTCGAGGATACACTCCCAGGTGACGCGGTTGGGGAAATCGGGCTCGCGAAGTGGTGCACGAGTGCCCTGGAGATAGACGCTGGTGCCTTTGTAGTCCAAGGCTCTGTCGTCAGCGCGCTCCTCGAGTAGAAGTTCAATTAGAATACTTACCGTTGAACTTGAACGAAAAACTAGCGTCTCTGGCCGTTGCAGTGTGCTCCGTATCGCCGAAAGTCGGTCCTGCGAAACCAACATTGTCGAATTGTCGACTGTCGACCACCGACCACGGGCCGGTGTACTCGATTCGCGGGTCTGTGTTGTCGAGAACGGTCCAGCGGGTAGGGAGAGGGGGGAGGTCGGTGGCCATTAAATAAAAAGAATGGACAACCAAGCACCAACACCTGACTGGGGAAAAATGAAATGCCTGTCATCTGTGCAATGCATGCGCGGTTTTATCTTATGAGGAGACCAAGTATTAGTGGACGGGCGACAACGAGTAACATGGAGGAAGGATGGAAGCGTTGTGGCTGTCTCGGGATGGCATCCGTGCAAAATTGGACACAGATTGATCCATGTGCTTTGATTAGTGTTGATTGTAGGCGGTTGTTCTGTTGAAATCGTCTATGCGTCATGGTAAAGACGCAACAAGGAGAGTCGTCCAGAGAGAACGAGGAGATCAGATGGCCTCGCATTGCATTAGTGCCGTAAGGACAGCGGTGCTGCCAGAGACAAATTCCTGGTACTACAGATCTCAGAGAACGGAGGAGTACAGGAAGGCCAATTTGGAGCAGCTTTCGCATCCAAGAGAACCTGCAACCTTCATACCGATGAGGGTTGTAGTACAAGCATGCAGAACCAACCGCAACGTTGATAAAGCGGCACTGAGTAATATGGCTGGGCGACCGAGACATCATTTCCTCGACACGTCGTAGCAAATGATATTTTATCAGGAAGAAGCCCAGCAGGAAAACATTCCCGAATTTTGTCCTGAAAATGAAGTGGTTGTTTGTCATTCTCTCGAGGAGACTTGAGCAGAACGCCCGTCGAGACATAGTATAACGCCATCCTCACCGTCAGAGTGTTGTTGGCATCACGTCCAGTTCCCGAGGTCGACAACGAGACTGATTGTGGCAATCGATGGAGCATCCAGGCTGGGCAGGAAACCAAACCCACAGTGAGGAAATGCAGCAGATGCTCGTCCGGGTGGCCGAATCCGCAAGGCTCAAAGCAGAAAAGACACGGCGAAAGCAAAAGGTGAAAGTCGAAAGCACCCAGCGCGCATACAGTTAGATGGAGTGAGGATATGGGTGCCCAAATATCAGTGGGGTAATCTTTAGACGCTTCAAGTTGGACCGTAGTTGCACGCAAACAAGTTTCGGACGAAAGCAAGTCGACGGACGCGTTGAGTGCCGCACGTGGCACGTGTTAAGGGAAATATTAAGCAACCGCCGTAGGCGGGGGAAGGCTCGCTGCGCCATCTCACTTAGGCCAACTTATGCTTCTTCTAAGTGAAATATCTCTATAGACTATTTGTAAACCAGAGAATAACTGAGGACATTGAGCTGAGGTTTCATGGCTCCAGATCCCAATGATTGTGAATATCTGAGGCTCCATGCCCTCGGCAACATGCAAATCGGGTACAACTACTGTCAAACGACCCGTAAACTGAGCCGATATCTCTTACATATCTCTTCTAGAGAAGGGACCAGTTTACGCAGTCTCGGGATGATTCCGACCTTGGTAAATGACCCCCCGGCCTCCCACAGCACGGAATTGGCCACATACCATAACAGCCCGATTTTGTGCCGATCTTTCTAGTTTTTTCGCTCAAAAGCGTTCCTTACATGATATTTGTCTATTTAGACGCATAATAATAGCGGTACAGAGAAAGGGAAGAGACACAGTAACGTCTTCAAGCACACCGGGCCTGCCCGGCGTGCTTGCGGAAAGTTTGTACTTGTTTGTCCGGGCCCCCCAGCCCTTAGAGCCGATAGATGCTCGCTTCGCTCGCAACAAACATCGCGTCCTGAGCGCGCTCAACGTGGACGCGTCGCGCCAGGACGCACACATGGAAAGAAATCTCTACGATTGAGCCTTTCAGGCTTCTCGATACTGGATAATAGAATCTATATACATTTGGACGCCAGTAGGATCGCCAGTGGCACTTTTCCTTCCTATTTTCCAGTTGCAGTTGTGCTCGAAATTGACCTTCAATGGCGGGTAAATAGGCCATGTATCTTGTTCAGCCTGCTCTGGTGGGCACTTCGCCAACTTCAAGTCTTCAGCGCCGGAATGACCCTGGAGGATGAGGGACACGGCGTCTTGTCGGAGTGCAATACCCTTGGAAGATTGCGGATGTAAGACAGACTCCTTTGCGGACCTGCGGTGTCGCCTGCGTAGACTTGCGGGTGGAGGAGCCAACACGCTTGCGTCCCTCCTTTGTTTGAACACATTTTGGCGGCGGTCCTCATACCTCTCTTGACTCTCTCCTGCCGTCTCTCGTCACAGGGACGAGGTCAATATCAATAGCCCATTCGTCCGCCGGGGGCACCTTGGCCAAAGCTTCCCGGACGATCCTTGAATTTTCTCTGGCGATTTGAGTGTCGGATTGCCACAACCACGAACGCAGCTGCAGGATACTAGAAGACAAGGTCGGTGCTTAATGTCTAAAGTAGCAGGAAGGAGAAGGCAGAGAGAGAGAGCACTCACATCCTACAAGCCTGCCGAATGAATATGACGTTGAATGCAGATCATCAGCTATTGGAGGAAACGACGCTTACTAGGATGTTCGGCATGATCAGTACGAAGGGAACACCGATGCCATTGTCTAGGCTCCTGGACACACTGAGTCCTAGGGCTCCGATCCTAGGTCGGGATATGACTTACGAGAAGTAGAGGATAATCGCGACAACGTTCGTAACAGTCATCCATATGAATACGTTCAATCCTAAAAAGCGTAAGAGGTGCTACTCGGTGATTGTGCGCAGGAACTTCAAGAAAGGACCGACCTTGCTTATAGAAATAGCGTCCAAGCGCCGACCGTCCATACCGCTGCCTCTTGAAACAGCACTGCTTGCGTTATGAATATTGATGGTTACAGACGCAGAGAGCGAAAAAGACACCAACAAAACACACGACGATTAAGTTTAACGAGTCGAGTAGCATCCCCGAAATCTGCGCCATCCATGAGTGAGGAAGCAAATTGGACAATGGAAATTCGGTACGAAAATAATCTAGCATGCCTAGTCAACAGCTGTACCGTCGAGTTAGGATGCACAAAGCTTACCCCAATCCGAATACGAAACGACCTGTCACCGTAATCGGGAAAACAGCCCAAGTTCGCGAAGAATGACATCGGGCTGCTGGGGTCGAAGTTCAGGACGGGGATGTCCGAGAGGAACATATAGGTCGCTCCTCCGAGTACAACCCCGTAGGCAGTCAACAAGGCGGCCAAGACTACGGAATTTCGTCCGGAAAATGCGTAGGCGCGCATGACCATCACAGCTAATGAATAGGTTGTGATCGTCAGAGGTTGGAACAACAGGCTCAACCAACGACTTCTCACACCTTGACCGAATAGTTGCTTTGGAAAGAAGGTCGAATAAGAAACGCCTGATTCCCGGTAACGCTGAATGGACTTACGAAAGGAAACTGAATACCGTGAACTGGCTTGACAGCGGACATGCAGGTGTCTGGGGCGTGGTTCCAGTTGTAGGCCCAAAATACTACGACCCATACGAGGAGGGGGTAGTACCGGCACAGAACATAGGCCAGCGACACATGCGACCAGCGCCGGCCATAAATCTTTGAAAGGGGGTTTCAGATTTCAGTCAAGCGTTATGTCGCGAGGAAAGATTGAACATGGAGGCCTGACTCACAAGTCTGACCTCATCCTGAAAGCTATTGAGGGGGCCTACGATGAGATCCCAAAGTCGGTTTTATGGGGCAGAAGATGGTAGACTCACCAATCGATCCATTCGTACCCCAGCACAGCAAAGGTCGCCACTATACAACATCGCGAAACTTGCACGAGCTTAACGACAGCCTGTGGGTTCGACGGGTCCATCATGACAGCCGGTGCCGCGTCGGAAGTCGGTGATGAATCGTCGGGCGCGTTCGGCGGCAGAGGTGCAAAAGATACGGAGTGGTGGATAATTCATGCGTGTCGACGCACAATGGAGAGGGTGGTGAAGGAAAGGACGAAGAAAGAGATGGAACAGTTACGGCGGGGTCGAACCTGTAGTTGTGCCCCTAGACGACGGACGTCATCTCGTAAACCTCTTCATCACAAGACGATCAACCAAAATGGAGAAAGTCTCAGAAATACGCGTGGTTATTCGGGAATCTGGGTCTTGCCCTCACTTAGCCTGTGAACTCTGCTGCGGCGCGAACTCGCGCTCTTCAGATTGAGCTCATATACAAACAGAGGGGATGTGAGGATTCCTGATTATTCCAATTGAACGATGATTTGAAACCAACGATTTTGGATCTTGACCGGACGGGGTATGGAAAAGCCAGGAACAGGGGGAGTGCGTAGTCGATTGGTCTGACTCAGGGTCAGATGTCCCTGGATCATTCCAGGGACCGTTCCAAAAACGGATGGACGGCGGGGGCGCTATGACAGGAGGAGCGTGCGCGCATTGCAGACCCCAGGAAGCGTGTCGGCTAATGTAGACACGCGGCTAACCTCATCGCTGCATGTCCTGAGGCTGCTGTAGCGCCGCGCGCTGCGTGTCGGTAAAGCCTATATTCACTGTACGTTCAATTTCAGCAATTAACTTCAGCAGTTAGGAGTGTATTTACGTGGCTAGCGGCCGCATGGAGAGTGTACCCAGTACAGTGAAAATGAAGAATTGTGCCGCGTCTTTCATTGGGGTGAATGTGCGAATGCGGGATATCTAACACACACCCAAAACAACCGTATGGGCGGCTCTGAGGTGCGGGGACACGTTCCCAGGTTGTGCGGCTCTAACCAGGGTAGCACGCGCGACTCATAAATGCGACACGAGGGTGCGGGATGATGGGAAAAGCACCACGGAAAGGGGGCGCTTATCAAGGATGGCTATCGATGTCGAAATGGATTCGGTCGATAAGGCGATGGAGTCTCCGCGACGACGAACGAGGGCGGGAGAGAAAAATGAGACAAAATCTATGTTGTTCTTTATGAAATAATGTACATGGCTTTTATACTACAGAAAACAGAAAATCTGGCCAAGCAGCTCGTGCCCAACCGGGCTGAAGGAATAAAGAAAGGGAAGAAATATCAAGCAAAAATGCAAAAGTTAAAAATAGGGGTCGAGCAAGCGACGAAGATGATGACGACGGGAGGGGACTTCCTAAGGAGGAAAAGGTGGCGCACTAAGCTCGATTTGCGCAAAACTTGGCAGTGAGGGTCACGAGATGCTGAACAAGGATCTACGGGGCTGACGAGTCGCTCGAGGAATTATGTAGGGCGATGGGAAATCAAGGGGAGCATTGGAAGAGATGAGGAAGGTTTTAAAAAAGGATTTCCCGAGGGTTAGAGGCAAAGGCGGCCCATCAATGCGTGAGCGAGAGGACAAACGGCGATGAAGTAAGCAGGCTGAGAGTGGCGTACAAGAGCACATCCACTATCTATATATAGGGATGAAACCTGTGGTGGAAAACACAAAAGAGAGGAGGCGAGTGAGGAAAGGAGCGATCCGGGCGCATGCGGAGACACAGTCGGTAATAAAAGGTGGAGAAGTCTGGACGTCGAGAGAGATCGGGACGCGATAGGCACGAGGGACATGGCGCCTCATCGTAACATCATTGCTGTATGTTTATGGCGACTCGTTCGGGGTGCACACAATGCGTCAAGATGAAAATTGCACCGTTATGTCTCTTTCTTCCAATACACCTTTTGCTCATTATGAGTAATTAATGCATCCATGGCTGAAATTATAGTGCAACCATCTATATATTCGTAGTTTGTATTGCTCTTTTAATCATAGCTTGATACACGATTTGTTCTCGAAGAGCCGGAGACGCCTCGCACAGTCACTGCTCACTAAGCGCTCATCGTCAAATTCGGGGTAGCGCCCCACACTATTGAGCGCCGCATTCTATTTCCTCATAAGATGTTCATTATATGCACTAATATCTATGTAGTACCGTTTTCCCAAAAGTTGGTTGGTGTGACCAGCTGTACAACATGAATTAGGTGACATCTTGAGGGACATCGAAGACATTTTCACGCCTGCCCTCCATTTCTACCTCTGTTCGGTGTGCTACCCACTCTGCAAGACAAAAACAGCTCATTTAATTAATGTAACATATGGGGAAGAGAAGATAAGTAGATTTTTTCGACGCCTATGTAGGTATCCACGGCCACAAGAGCCTACGCAATCGCGGCCCGTCTCGCCGGGGGCCGCAAGTGGCATCGTCACATAATTAAACAATGGATATCTACCATGGAGTTTCCGGGGTGTTTTGGGTCCTCCCGACGCCCGACTCGTCCGCTGTTGATGCGCTGGGTGCGGGAGCCCGATCTGACCATTCCGGGCTATTCTGCCAGCTGTCTGTCATCGGGATCCGACCCTGAGTCAGACCAATCGACTCATCACTGGAACAGGGGTGCGGGACCGCTAACACGTTGCCCATATACGGCATGTGTGATCGGTGATTGCCGCCTCCCGAGCCGATCCAAACAGGAAATGCCTCCGCTGTGGCGCGGTCTCGACCGTCCCTTGCCATTTATGATGAAATGCCGAACTATTTCAATTCGTCGCTCTCGAGTAGCAGGGATGGCGGACAGTGAGTGAAAACGCAAGACGAATTTACATTTATCGATTACTATCGCTGTTTGTAGGTATATCTAGAGGAATGGGTAGTGTAGGTTGCGCGGGCTGGATGCAAGATGCGTAGTATACAGTGGAGGATTAGCTAGTCTACATGTCGATGCAAATGAGCGTGTGCTACGGCCCTTCCATGATCCAGGAATCAGTAGAACGTGTCCGTAGTGCGTTGTTCACTATAAAAGAGTGTTGTCTCGCTAGTTCTGATTCTGTTGGACAGACTTTCTTTCGCAGTTCCAAGATGCTATCAGATAGGATGAGCCACATTTGCGTCAAGAGACGAGCGGGTTCTGCGTACATTCGACATGCCTGAAGGGATTGATCAGATGTTTGAGACGGTGAATTATCGGTTGTCAGACTCACTGCGATATTGGCAATTACCAGAATCAACGGCAGACCAATGCCCGTATGATATCTTGGTGGCCTCAGGACTAGTCAGCAACTAACGTTCATGAGGCTTTGGAAGCAAACCTACCGGAAATATGTAATTGCCGTCCCAACGTTGACGAGAGATACGAATGCGAATGCCGTCAGACCTAATAGCCAATGAGTCCAGACTTCTGAGAAATGACTTCGACCCAACCTTGGTTTACGAAGTAGCGACCGAGCGAGACATCATGGGAGCGTGTTTTCACACAGTGCTGAGTGAAGAGTGGAGCTGAGAAAACGACCGAAGGAGAGTTGAAAAAGTCCACGTACGATAAATACGACCGCCAACGAGATCAAGTCCATCAACGTCGCTGCAAGCTATACAGAGTGGGGCTTAACCGCCGGCTTGAATTAAACTATGGGAGGAAACATTACCATCGAATACTATGATAAAAGAAGTTAGACACGCGGCATTCGCGATGTGAGTGAACAAAAAATAACGTACGCCTATCCGAAGACCCATCGCTCCTTCTCCGTAATTTGGGAAGCAGCCAGTTGCTCCACCGAGGGCCCAGAATAGCTCCCAAGGAGGCAGTTGCACTTGCACGCAAAATACCCAGATGTCGAGGCCTACGAGGCCGAGATAGCAAAACCCCAGCAAGGCGAGAACGCGAATATCGCGGCCAGAAAACGCGAACGCTCTCATTAGCATGACAGCTGCGAAACAGCATCAGGGACAAATGTCTTCCGGGACGTAGTTGCAGTTAAGCAGACCTTGCGAAAAGAATTGCTAAATGCGATGAGACGTAAGTATCAAGGAGGCGGGGTAATTGCGCGCAGCGACGGCGAACTGGAACTCACGTACAAAAGGAGCAAGGAATGCATGAATAGGATGCACGGCGGGTTGGCATATGGCATAACTGTGGTTGCCTACATATGCCCACATAACGACCATCCAGAGCAGCAGTGGGTAATAGCGACAGAGAAGGTAGAGAGTCTTGATCCACGTCCAGCGCGCGCGATGTATCTGCGATCTGTCAGGCGACGCGATCCAATGCCGGGCATAGAGCGGGCACGCACCAGTCGCACCTCTGCGTCTATTCTGTATTTCCCAGAGACGATCAGCTTCTCCGACAGGCTTGAGAAAGCCAACTCGACGCACCCAGCTAACCACTCGTACAGCTGCAGCGAGAGCATCGCAGCCATCGCGTACCGGGCCTCCATGATGGAGGTTTTAGCCAATATCAGCTCCTGCAACCCTTGCTCAATGGTGAGGTCCCCATAGCCGACTTTAGCGTCCATGCAGGTGTGTCAACGATGGTGGTGGCGGTCAAGCCCGACCTCGAGACCGTGGATGTTGCTGGCTTGTGGTGTCTGCCAGACGGGCGGGGACTGAACATGGAGGGGGGAAAGGTCGGGCAAACGTCCTTGGGCGGTCATTATAACAGATGGGGCGAAAACGTCAAGACGGCACGTCCCTTCGAGTTCCAGCGATCATTCAAGAACAGAACGACAGGGTCCGCGAGAGAGTTGCCTTGTAAGGGTACATGATCTCGGAGCCTAGCCCCTTCAGGTAAACGGCAGCGTCGGACACTCCGTCAGTGCGGCCAAGAACGCCAGAAGAACATGAGGACGCGTATTCAAATTTTAATGACTTTTGACCGTATTCTGCAGTCAATACAGTTTCTTGGACATGGATCATGACAGCCACTGCCAACGCCGCACCATCGTTCTCCACCGGTCCAATCCCGACTCTCTAACCGTTAACGTCATGTCCTATCTATGCCGTGCGGCGAGAACTCTGAAACTCACAAGAAAAAGGTATATTCTATCAAATAAGCTGCTTCTGTGGGAAGTGGAGAGGTGGTCATGCATGACGTTTTGGCATCTTTATATCCCTATCAACCTCTGCAGCGCGTGTGAGCCAAGAACCGCATCATGTCAGAGCAGTCAGGACTTAGTCTTTATTTCAGGTGTGCTACCTCCGCTCAATGGAATGCCGATCGGGTCCTCCGGATTGATAAAGTCATATCTTTATCAGCGCGTCGGCATCAGGATTCAAGATGCTCTATTGTTTCGCAATTATATACTGTTCTAGCAAGAACGGGTCGGATCGTTCATGAACATTTGAACAGCCAACGTACCTTCAGCTATGTGCTTACCGCTTATTGTATTCCGAGCCCAGACTACAGAACACTCCACCCAGGAAGAAAAAAAAATACAAGAACAATCGTCATCATCGTCATAACCAAAGTATAGAATGTTCATCCAACCGACGCCAACATCGCTTCGAATTTCGCGAACGCCGCAGGCAGAACCCTCAAAACCCTCAAGCGAAGACCCGCTTAAAATACTGTTCGACCCCGGAAGCTCCCCGGACCCGTGCACCGATGACTCCGTCAGGTCGAACCACCACCACGACTGTCACCCCTTCTGAATCCGACGCGGCCTCGAATTGAATGTGGTACCCTGCAAATGCATGACCCTCGGCATCGATAAGGACTTGCCCGAAGCTCCCGCCTTGACGTACAGTGGCAGCAGTGATGGCAGTGGCGGCGCCTTTGGGAAGAATAAGGATGGGGTGCACCGTATTTTGGGGTTGGTGTTTGGTGATGTCGCAGATACTTCGGGGCACTTCAGAGTTGGCACTGGAGAATATAAGGACGGTGTGGCGCGATGGAGAGAAAACCTTGAAGAGACTCGTTACACTATTGTCAGACAGGTCGACGAGACCAGGCGCCCCAGGTGCTCGGTCCGCCGCACGAGCGGCGGTTTCGCTCTTCTTGCTGTAGGCATGTACTTCATCCTCAACAGGCGCTTCAATAGGCACCTCAGGATTTTCTTCGAAGACGATAGAGCTCCAGCGGTAGTTCACACCGAGCTGGGTCATGTCGCCTCCACGTTTGACCTCGCTTCCTCCCCCGGTCTTGAAAGCTTGGTTGAAAAGCTCGGTCTTGTCGAGCATTTCGGCGATGACGGGCAAACGCTCTTCGGCGTAGGTGTTGAGGAGGGAGGAAGGTGACAATCCCTTCTGCACGAGAGCGAGCTTCCAACCTAAATTGAACTGTGGGGCGTCGGCACATTGCTTCTCGAGTGGTAAATATTGGAACCTACAGAATCTTGGATACTCGAATTAAGGCCCTAAAGAGAGAAATAGTCAGACATCTATAGAAGGTGAATAAGTCTAAAGGACTCACTTGACCACCGACAGGGCTATGACAGTGGGCAGCATCCCCACCTACGAAGACGCGTCCAACGCGAAGTTGCTTAACCATACGGATATTAGGTCTGAACAGAAACGTTAGAACTATCTCTAGAATGTCAAGGACGAGGAATACTGACCTGTACCTCGAACTCCAGATGAGGTCCCCGAAGACAAACAATATCTCGCCTTCCATTGATTTCGTAGATTTTTTCGACGACCGCTCACGACTCGCCAAGACGGCCTGAGGGTCGATGGCCACCCCCGCAAGGAGGAAGCTGACGACGTCCTCATCTTGACTTGAAGGTCGAAGGTTGACACTGGATAAATTGGCCGGTCAACAAAAGAAGTCAAGAGAGAAAGACATTGAGCGTACATTGCTCTCTGGGGTTTCCCCATCGCTCCCAGAACTGATGCAAAACGTCAATACAGAAAATAGAAAGGAAAGAAGACGAGCCCACCTCTCGTCGCCCGCTCTTGATCCTGATGTCCCCAATAACAATATTAAAGCCTTCCCGCGTCTCGCCCAAAAACTCCAATCCCAAAGTCTTACGAACAACGCTGTGAGCGCCATCCATGCCGATCAACCACGGAGCCTTCACCTGCTCGACGATTTCCTTGCCATCCTGCTGACGTACGATCTCGGCTAGGACGTGGTCATCGAACTGCTTGAACGAGCGCAACTCGGAGCCGTACTCGACTTTCGTGCCGAATTTCTCGAGGTGCTCACGCAGGATGCGTTCATGGTGGTTTTGTCCAAGCATGATGGGGTTAATCTGAATAAAGACAAGTCAGTTAGGGAAGGGAAATGCAAGGAAAAGAGCTTACGTAGGGAATTTGAGGGGTTGGTTCGAGCGTAGAAACCATTAAGAAGGTTTTCACCACCTTGGTGCCATCAGCGGGATCGTACTCCTTGGTGAGCAACAGCGGCTTCCCGGCGGATATGACGTCGGGGAAGGTGCCGAGGATTTCGTGCAACTCCAGAGAACGAGGCTACAAATGAGACATGAGTGAACCAGAAGAGAAATACGAGGAAACCGTACCGAAACTCCCGCGCCACGCTCTCCAAGTCGTCCTTCTCGATTATACGAACAGGAATGCCATTCTTGCGCCAGGAGAGCGCAATGACGAGACCAGACGGTCCTGAACCAACCTACAACCGAGATATCAGAAAGGTCTCAAAAGTAGAACAAATGGAAAACATACGACGAGGATTGGAGTGTTAGACATGCTGGACTTGAGTTTGATCTTTAGCTTGGGCGCTGGAAGGGAATTTCAAGATACGTATCCCGTTATCGAGAGACACTTTTAACGGGAGGCTGTAGCACGGACCAGGTGGATGGGTGCTGCGGGTGTTGATGTTCAAAGAGGAGATTCTGGCCATAAGGATGCCCTCCAGACGCGTCAGTGCACGTTGTCCGAACACCGGGGGTGAAATGACTTGAATGTTCGAGCTCTAGAGACTAGACAGCTGGTGTGAATTCGCGATGGTCTACTGAGTCATTTGAAGACCAAAGGCACTCACCAGGCGAATTTCAACTATTAATAGACTGTCGCGACAGTTTGACTTCGCTGTGGTTGCAGTCCCGGCGAGAAACGTCAGCGCGGCGGGTCATTTGAGTCGACTGGGAATCAAGCAATGGCCATCTTGAGCGAGAATGGTGAATGAGTTCATCAGGGCAACCTGAGGGTTGAGTTATTCATAGTAGACTTTTGACGCTAAAAGCGAAACACTGATGACTATCAGCGTTGATAGTACTGCGCAGTGCGCGCAGTGGTAATTCCAGTTCAAAGCAGCGTTGGTCGTCGTTAAAAATGGGGACGTAACCCCGAGTCCATGAGGAAAGGGTGAGGAGGATGAAGTGGCGGGCGGAGTTTCAAAGACTTGCCGTGACGCCCAAGCCGGCCGTTTGGTCCTCTCCGAGTCATCCCTCCACCGATAGGTACGCAAAACCTCATCCCTACAACTAGATGGTCTTCAATTTAACTTCTCGTAGGCTTATAAATGAATGGCCTCTGTACAACGGAAAATTTTCTCTATGGGAATAATATACAATACATATCCAGTCATTTGTTGTACAGATCGGAGAGGTTCAATCAAACGTTCATTTCGCCTTCATCGAGGAGTCAGGGTATTGCCGCAGACAATACCAAAGACCCCAGAGCCAAAATCGTAGGAAAGCAAGGAGCGTGCTCGAGCCAGGGAAGGGGTATTCGAGATGAATGCGAACACAATGAATTCAGGGTATGATGTAGTGTGCAGAATTAATAGATAAAAAGGAAAGTGAACGTACGGTGCCTCAAATATAGCTGTCCCTCGGCCGCTCCCCGACCAAGCCTTCCTGGGCCTTGGTCTGCCCCCAGATCTGATATCCGCCGTAATACGACGGGCCCTCCGATCCCAGGTCGTCTGACATCGCAGCTCGCCCTGAAGGCCCTGGTCTGCTCGGCCCCTCGCCAACAAGCCGACTCGTCGATGGGATATTCTGCCAACTGTATGGCTGCTCTGTGTACGGCCGTGGGATATAGTCTGAGCCCCACTGCTGGGAGGCAGCACCGTAACCTCTGAGCGACGCCGTGCTATTGTTGTCGGGCGTTGAGCGTTCTGATACCATGAAGGGTGTCGGCACAGTGTGTATAAATTCATGTGAGGCGGGGACGGGGCGTAGGCGAGATCGCTTGAGATATCGATAGAGGAAGAAAGAGATGAGGATGAGGAGGATGGCACCAATGATACCGCCTACTACGGCACCGATGTTGATTTTTCTTGAGGCACTGGCAGATGCGGCAGCGGGAGTGGGTATGGAGGTTGCGGCTGTAATTGATATCTCTGAGCTCGAGAAGCTTGGAGGAAAGGGCAGGCCTTGTGGAGTGATGGTTTGGGTGGATGTGGGAGGAGAAGCGCCGGTCTGAACAAACAGATGGGAGAGGACGAGAGGCGTTGTGTTTGTTGCCCCCTCGTAGGTGACAGAGATTGTGTGAGTATCGTCTTTAAGTCGGGGAGTCTTGAATACAATCTGATGATATTGGGTAACCACACCCTCGGCCAAGCCCTGAAGGGCGAATGCAGTGGAATTACCACCATCGATGGAATAACTTCCCATCGACGGCGCTAGCGGCAGCTCTCGCGGTGTGACGCCGATCCAAGTCAGGCCGGTACCTTCAGGGATGTCAGATAAATCCATAGACGCAAGGAGACACCAGACCGATTTACCTGTGAATTGGAACATCACCTTCGCGCCTTGCACGGAAGTCATCTGCCCAACATCGCCAAGCGGCCGCCAGTTGGTGTCGTATTGAACAGAAGGGTTTGTATCATCAACATACACCAGGGCGTTATCTAGCGAAACACCCGCTGAGGGAAGGTACCGAATGTAGTCGAACCAGAACGGGCGTCCGCGGCTTGTAGCGTTGACGGTGAGGATGTGGGGTCCGTCGCTCAGGTTCTGGACGGTGCACATCACCCAGTTGTTTTCGATGAACTCAAACCCAATCTTCTCGATCGCTACACCGTCGACGAAGCAGTCCCAGGTAGGGTCCTCCCGACGGGCATTGCGATCTCGATTTAGTGTGGTGCCAAAGACGTCGATTTCGCTCCCTTTGAAGGAGGGAAATTGGAACGAGGTCAGCAGGTGCGCACGCAAAACCACCGCCGTAAAGAAATACCTGAAAACTCGAACTCAAATCCCCCAACCCCGTTGAACACACCATGCAGCGTCTTGTTGAGCGTCGGGCCAAAATTCCCAGCACGATCGTTTATCCCACTCGCGTCGGCGACCCACTCTCCCTCGTACCGAATCTGGCTCGTGTCCGTGTCGTCAACAACGATGCGCGGTCTGGCGGCTGACATCCCAGGCTCCAGGCATACAGCAAGGAGCGAAAGAGAAAAGAGTGGAAGTTAAGGAGAGGTGAGTGGAAAAGGAGAGATGTTAATGCAGAAAATCCGGGCCATTTCCCTGATGCCCGAGAACGGAGGCGATCCAAGGGCCGAACGGCGTGGCGAACATCAAAATGAGCCGTTGCCAACGCCAGCGCTTCAAGCCTATTCGCTGCTGGTGCCTCGAGGGCCGGAGACGTCATGTTCCTGGATTTAAGTGGGCATCAACATTCTTCGCCTTTAGGCTCAGGATTGGCGGGACGGCTCAGGGGACGCTTTCTCTAAATTCCACCTCCTCCAACTTTCCTCTAGCTACGGACGGCTGTCGGTCTACGGAGGTTGACCCAAACTTCCATGAATAACGCCGATCTTTCTTTCATCTCTTGTCAACCTGGGAAGTTGTTGAAGATGTCACAACTAGGCCTGAGAAGATGCTCAAACACAATTAATAATTATGATGATAAGCAAGCCCTTCACTAAATCTCAAGCCATCCCTTCCACTCAGAAGGCAGTGTTCCAGCCCCCCAAAACACCGTCTAATGATAACGTTTCACCGAACTCTGAGGCGCCAGAAGACGCGATGAAACCCCGTTAAGCGCTAAGCGCTTGTTATATTTATTTGATTTCGGTCGTCATCGTCCACACCCGCATCGCCTTCCAACAAACGCCGCTGATCAAGCTTTCAAGATGAGTCCAGCTCAACCACCCACAACCCGTTCCAGAGATATCTCCTCAACAGCACCTTCCTGACCCACACCTATCAGAGTCATGGTCCACCATCGGACAGGTAATCCACGGGAATGTACTGCAGCGGGGCTTGCATGATCTTCACATTCCCGTTGCGTTCCAACGAGTCTACCGTCTCCGCGTTTATCTTCCCATCGATAACTTGAAGTTCGGCCACTGGGGCCTGGACATGAGTTCTCCAGAAGAGGAAGGCGAGGACCGTGAAGTACGCAGCGCGTTGCTCGTCCTCGAAATTCGTCTTCGTCAGTCGTAGGGACCGGAGGGAGGGGAGGATTGTGCTCGTCGCGGACGATGCTGATTGGAAGAGAGGGAGGAGGTAAAGTGGCGATCTCTCGAGCAGATTCAGGGCCTTCACCGAGGTGAACGAGTGGAGGACCTGGACGTCGAAAGCCGGGAGTGCCGGGTCATTGTTGCTCGTCCTGGCAAACTCTTCGTCCAACCACAGGACCAGGACAGTCGTCGTCGCGTACGTGGGCTGATAGAGTGAGAGTAGCTTGTCGAAGAACCCCAGGGTGTCCTCCGAGGTGTTAAACGAGAGGACGAGCCACGTCAATGGGTCGCTGGAGGACCGCTTATGGTCTGCGATCACGTCAGGCTCGGTCATGTCCCAAACATACCCAACGCGGTGCGAGTTCCCGAAGTGGATTCGGGACCCGCTGAGGGCTTTGGCTTGGAGGTACCGGTCTGGGGAATCGTGGGGCCAGTGGGAGAGGCGTTGGCCGAGGTATGTGAGCAAATCCTCTCCACTCTTCCCAAGGGACGACCTTTGGCAATTCAATCGCAACCTAATGCCACATGCCCCTGGGATCGAGACGTGGTTCAGGAAAACGGCACCATCTTGAAGCTCTGCACCGATAGTCAGGAAAATGAGATTCGGGAGATCGATCCCTTTGAGCGAGCTAAGCGTATCCCTATCGAAATCCGTGCGCGTGATGGCGTTGTGTAAAGTGAGATACTGAAGTGACGGTATGTCCTTCAGGATCTCGAGCCACCCTCGCACAGTCGGGGCGACTTTCAATGGGTGATTAGGTCTTCTAAACGACAATATCCCAGGCGATATGATGTCCATGACTGACAATGATGTGAGATGATGCAGTGCCACTGAGCGAAAATCGACGAGACAGCGCTGTAAATGAAACTCCCGCAGGCGCGGGGCTTGGTCCATGAACAGCGGGTCGGGGTGCAAGAACTCGGGGAAGGGCGAGGACGTGATGAGGTTGAAGTACTCGAGGTTCGGGGCAGGATGTTGGAGGAAATTCTGGCATATGTAGTCGAACGGGGAGATGCGGATGTTGAGCGAGAGCGTACGGAGCTTTGAGCGGTCCCGGGCAAGACTCTGGAGAATGGGCCGTGACTTGGGGTTGCGTAGATGAATGGCTTTAAAGGCGGATTGTTCGCCTACGTCGATGAGGGACGATTTGGATCGGCGGAGCAGCTCTTCTATCCACTTGTCGGAGTGCTTCTCAAAGTCGATTACGTTACCCCACAGGACTGGATAGCTGAACGCCACTTCGCGCCATCGTTTGCATACGGCGCTGGTTGCAAGGAGTGTCGCATGTCGATCGTGAAGGGGTGCGTCGGTATTGTCGTCTACTTCTTGGACTTTGAGTGAGTTCAGCAAGAAGATGGCACCAAGGAGCTCATCGGGAAGAAGCGCAATGGGACTAGAACTAACGAAAGCACCGTCTTCTGACGACATAACGACGGCGCCGGTGTATGTCGGAACTCAGGCCTCTGGAAAAGAGGTTCTAGCAACGCAATCTGAATAGGGAACTTGGCTTGCAAGTCAATTCCGACCATTAGCTCTCATGTACAGTCATTCGGTCATCACGAAAACTCTCACCTCAAACCAGAAGTGCAAAATATGGGGCGATTGTTAACGTTGAAACGTTGAACGTTGAACGTTTTTTGAACTGTCCGCCGCCTCACTTATATGGGGCGGGGTGACTGGGCCGCAGGTCCCGCCGTGATCCAAGTCCAGGATGTTCCCACGCGCCACAATCTTATCTTATCGACGATAGCAGCAGAAAACTGGTTGAGCAAGGTGATCAAAGTTGGCCAACTCCACCTATCCGCCATATTTTATTGCCCCTGCGACAAGAACTGGGAATAAAGAGTGTGGTGGAATAATATAGAGTCGAAACTGACCCTGAATTCAACCTGAATTCCAACCATTTCAACCATTCTGTCCATGCAATCTCCGATGGGGTGCCACGTTCCGAGATGTCGTTGAGTTCAATGAGTTGTAGCACCAATCGAGCCGGCCTATCAGGGGCGCTACAGCTTGAAGACGGTATCATTATGGTTGATTTTGGGACGATTAGTTCGACAATTCCAGGAGTAACTTCCATAGGATCGTGATGTTAGTTAAAATGTGTGTACTGAAATTTCGTCGCATCATGTCGTAGGAGAGGCGCAACTCCAGTCATCGAAATCGATATCGATATTGACCTGCTCCAAAATTCAAAATTGTTAGCGGTGACGAAGATCGGATGACTTGGACATCCATCTCACCGTGGAAATGTCTTTCTCAACCTCGACTGCAAGCATCAGAGAGAATGCGTCAAGATCCTCTTTGGCACTCTGGCTACAGTTTGAACATGCCGAAGCTTGTCGTACAGCCTTGTTCAGCAAGTCGCATTTTCTAGCTGTTTCTCCCCACGGTCGTCTCCGCACCTCCTCTGATACATCTTCAATCCACTCTGCCCACCACCGTCGTGCACTCGGATATTCGCTGCTTCGGACATCCCATGCTGCCGGGCACCGTCTACACGATAGCCACACCCACGGATCGTCGAAATCCGCCAGTGCAGGCTGAAGTAGCACCCTGGAGGATGCAACCTCCCCACACGCACGATGGTACTCCTGTAGCCGATAATACGTCGCCGCCGAGATGAACTCGAGCTCATCCACGAACGGGACATTCATCGGATGCCTTAGGGTGAGCCGTGCAGCTTTGCGCGCCTCGGTATCCCACCCATAGCGATAAGCAATTGCGAACACGCGCAAGGGCTGCGCCTCGACAAAGCGGGGGGAGACGATCTCGCTCTTCAAGTGGTTCTGCACTCCCTGCATCTCGAACTTGATTGCTGCCTCCGCGACCTTCTGGAGCTGTTGCACGGACGAGATGCGTGGGTGCGCGTGCACGCTCACGGGAAAGCACAGGCCGAGTAGGATTTGCAGCGTTTCTTTGTCTTCGGACATCTGGATAACGGGTACGCCATCTAAGGATCCAGAGTCGGGGTACAGAAGTGGGCTGGAGGGCTGCGGGAGGGTAAAGATCTCGGAGAAAAATGGGGAGGCGAGAGAGAGCAGGAGCTTGAACGCTCGGAAGTCGACTGGCTCCTTGTCGGACGATCGTAGGACGATGTCTGCATCCGGGTGGTCGAATGGTGTGGGTGCTGGGGTGCCTCTGATCATCATCTGTCTGTCGAGCATGACTGACACAGCTGGTGAAATGAAGTGAAAGTAGTAGATATGAAGATGGGGTAAGTATAGTGAAGGAGGTCGATTTGCGATAAACCAAGCGCCGACAGTGATGATGGTGTGAAGACAAGATGGCGCCTCGAGGCATAGGCCCGAAACGGAAGGTTATACTCGCGACAGAAATAGAACACCATCGCGTGTTGGTCGCCTGCGACGAGGAAAGGTCGTCTGTGATTCAGGAAGCCCTAAAACGAGGGGCTAAATTCCTTCATTTACCGCTTCGGCGCATGCTAGTAGTACATACAAAGGAATGCTATTCCGGAAACCGTGAAACTATTGGTGTACATACAATTTCATCTCATCTTCATTCTACCGTGTGGTTCATTGCAAAACTGTCGTTAGCGAACGTTAAATAATCAGGAGAAACGGGGGCGAATTGGAATTCGAAGAGGCTTTGACACTCCCAATCTTCTTCTTCTCGCTTCCAGATATCGAGATGGGGGACGCTTGAGAGCGCATTGGTGCTGTGTATGCCGCGATTGGAGCAGCCTTGGCTGCCGCACGAGCACGGCTACGGAGACGGTACCACACGAATAGACCCATCATAGCCAACAAAAACAGAGCTCCAGCTAACCCTCCAACAATAGGCGCCAAAGGTAATCCGTTCTGTCCCTCATGCGCTGCCGTTGAGGTGGAGGCACCGGGGGCAACAGTTGGGATGTTCGTGACCTCCATGTACGCAAGGGAAAGTGGCATCTGCTCTTTCTGCCCGAGGTACTTGACGGTCAACCTGTGATCTCCTGACTCACGAGAGGGTGTGTGGAAGTATTTCTGGTTGAGCCGAGGGGCGTCGAAGCCGCCTGGGATGTTGAACGTTACGGGCGCTTCGTCGTCAATCTGGTAGCTCGCACGGGAGGCATTGACGATGCCGTTCGGAGAGGCGGTATACCAGGCAACGGAAGTTCCTGTATATCGCATGTAAAGGTGAGCGTCCAGCGTACGGATTTACCCAGCCCGACTACGTGCCTGTGAAATTGAACGAAATCGTTGCTCCAGGATCATCACTATTCAGCGAAGGTGCGTATGCCGTGTGTGTCGTCCACTCTGTGGCTCCGCCGCTGTACATGATCCCGCGATCATTATAGCCAACCTGGACGACCTTGTTCAACGACGTCGGGACGGAATTCAGCGCTCCGTACGCGAGACGATCAACGTAGAAATTCGCCCCGTTGTTCATGACCTCAACGCCGAAGGTGTGTTCGCCGGGCGTGAGGTTGTCGTACCGACACAAAACGAAGTTGTTCAGTGAGGTCATCGCTACGTTGCTCCGGGGCTGCGTCGAGGCTTCACCATCGATGATGCAGTTCCAGATCACGCCGGTAGCTGCGCTCAACGAAACGGATGGCATGGTTCCCTGGACGAGAACGCTGGTGCCTAGCATAACTCGTTGGTACACTCGGCCGATAATAACAGATAATTGAAGTGCTCACCATTGAATTTGAAGTTGAACCCGTTGCCTCGCGTCGCCGTCAGGTGCTGCGTACCACCAAACGTCGCCCCGAAGTTCCCGACGTTATCGAACAGCCTCGTGTCGACTTCCGACCATGAGCCCGAGTACTCGATTCGCTCGTCCGTGTCATCGAGGACGATCCAGCGGGTGAGGGGAGGAGTTACGACGATCGCCATCGGATGGAATCGGTGGACACGAGGTGGGACTCGGCGGGGGGAAAGCCAACCCTCGCAGACTGTCACCGAGACCTTATGTATGAGAAGGCTGAACCCAGGGTCCAGAAGGTGTGATATCAGTCAGATATCAGGGCGACCTTCGGGCGATAGACCCCATATAGTCCAGTAGTGCAACGTGAAAGCTCTAGGGATATTCAGTGACCATCTCATGGCTGCAGGGAAGATCCTTCTAAGCCCCTTGAGTCCCAGGTATGGCTGGCCATAAAAGGCTTCCTGTGGTCAGCTGGAGGAGAATGTTATCATGGGAAGACGGGAACTGACGTGCGAGATGTGCCAAGGATTTGATTGTTCAACAAGAGGAGATAAGACGCGGAGATTGCGAATTGTTATCTTATCTGAGGGTCTGTGCAGTGAGAGATACCGTTTGCTGCACATCGCCGCCCAAGGCTCTACTGCAGGACTGATGTGACTCAGTAGTGAACAGATAGGTGCATTCACGAGAGTCTGATATCGTGATGCTCGCGAGTCGTGGAGATTGAGAGAGACGTCAGAAGATTTTCTGAGTGGGGCAGGCCTTGGATTCATTTTATGTAATCGAGCGCTAATCTCGTCTCCCCTCTAAGGGCAAAGGACCGCCTAATAGGAAGTGATTTGAGCGTCGTGTAAATTGTTTCTGAGGAAAGTGTCCGAATACTGGGTTCTCTTTCATTTAAATAAGCATAGAGTCGTCGAGAGACCCACATATTCTCTTCAAGGTTCGTACGGTTGGTAGTCGCAAGCTGGTCGGATTCAGCGCGCCATAACCACCAACTGTCCATGTCAATAGCGGCGCGAGAAATAAATAGGACGAGCTGATTAACGAAGGTACGTCCTTGGGTCGGGTACGTCTGCGTGTAACGGAGTTCGCCATCCCACTGCAGACTTCTACCTAATGAGAGGAACTCTCACAAAAGTCGATGAACTGGGTTTCAACGATATGCTTTCCCGGTAGATAGTTATGCATTGTAGTTTGATGCCTGCTTTCTAGAAACTTACCCTAGGCTTCCCGACTTCCTGGAAGTCCTAGAATGATTGGATTTATTCATTGATACAAAGCACGAGCGGCCGGTGCCTCTGGCCGTCATCATCCCGCTTGACGCCATAGTCGGCCAGAGAAGATGAGCTCCAAAAAGGTATGCAACTGCGAGAGTTTGAGATACGACGGGCAAGGCCCGACGTCAGTCGCGGTGATGCTGTGATGGGAGGGACCGTCTTAATGCGTAGCCCTCGCGATCAGTCGGCGTGAGATGCTTCAAAACTGGAATGGGGCTCGATGGCAAGGGCGGCCTGGAATTGTGAACAAAAACTATCCATTGAGAGTGAACTGCATACAATACAAATGCGAGCAGATGACGGTGCTGAACGGTAGCGTCAGCAGATGTTGACAAATGAATAACAGCATGCCAATAATACAGAAAGAAAGCAGGAATACAGCGCCGTACCCACAAGAAATCGAGCAGAGTTCCACAAGAGGAAAAAGAAGGGTATCAGAAAGATCTAGATGATGTCGTCAGTCATGGCGTTTCGTGTGCGATTGGCGGAACGGCCTGGTTGGTCGTGGGGCCTGCGGTATGCATGATAGGTTGGGTCTTCACAGAGTGGCTGATGTACTTTGCCCGCTTTCTGGGACGATCGAGATTCTCGCTGGAAGATTCCACTGGCGTAGATGTAGATGGTCCACTCGGGTTCTGTCCAGGCGACAAGTCGGGGAGGAGCAGTGGGGCGAAGAGCAGAGAGTCTGGATGCAGCTCGGAGGCGTTCTGGGCGCCAATAACTGACCGCGGGCAGCCGCCGGTTACGGGTACCCCAGGCTTTGAGTTGCTGTACACAGAGATTCCAGAGTCAGTGCACACTCTATCAACGTGTACGGAAGGAAGACGAGAGACCCACATAGATTCGTCATCGTCCAGCCGCCGTTTGAGGCTTTCAAAGCGCTTCTGGAGCACATCTCGCTCGCGGGCGAGCTGCGCAGCCTGGTCGCGGATGACCCGCGCAAAATTCAAAAGGCCGAGGTTGGCGGTTCCGTGCATTTCTGCACGCCGCCGCCACATGGCGCAGTTGTTGCGGAGGGTGTGGTTCTCCGCGCGCAGACGTGCAGCCTCCGACGATGAGGACGATGGCCCAGACGTGCTAGGCCCGGGTGACCCGGACGCCGCGGGTGGGGCTTTGCCATCAGTGTCGGCGTCGACGGCGTCGGCGGTAGACTCAGCGTCCGGAAGATCGACATACACCCTGCGGATACTGGGGTTCACGAATGGCCGCAGATGAGATGGGACGACGGATATGTTAAGAGGGGCTGATCTGGTGTGTCAGCAAACGTGTTTTTGCGGAGGCGAACGCTACTGACCAATGTTGAATTGTGTGCGGCAGGTTGGGCAAGGGTGCAGGTTGCTATACGGCTTTACGGCTTGCACCGTTTGAATGATGCATTGGCTGCAGAAAATATGTCCTTCAGAGAGGTCAGCGAACGTACTGCGAATTACAAAAAAAATGAACATACCACAGGGAAGCGAAACAGGCCTCTTCAGCTCGTCGAGGCAGATACGACAAGAGGCCATGGCAGGAATCCAGCTAGTTTCCGCGATATCGGGATATTCGGCGAGTGACAGGTGTGTTCAGAAGGTGGAAAGTGAGAAAGAACGACAGCCTCTCTGGTCCCCCTTATATCGTCAGAGATGAGCCAGAACGTGGAAGAGGGATGACGAGCGATCGTTCCAGCGCTTGACTAAAAATTCTTCCCCTTTTCAAAGATCGCAGAGACGGCAGAGCTGGAGATGACCTTGACCATGCCGAGTGCGCGTTGATGAATCGGTCGAGCTGTGCCCGGACTGGTTCCGAAGAGTGGGGAGCAAATCAGCTGGCAGCTCGCAGGCCAACCCACCCTTGGGTCATCACGACGAATGTGAAGATTTGGTTCGAGTGCCGTCGGAGACTCTGAAAGACCGTCCTTGGGCCCATCCAGAACAGGCAAGTCTGCCACGCTCTCGCCAAGACTTGTTGGGCACTTTCCCCCTTCCAGCACGTTCGGCGCTTCTTATTGGTTGGCCACTTCGTATTGCACTGTTAGGACGCCGTATAAAAGGCTAAACATCATTCATCTTGACTCTACTTGCGTGCACGATATTTATGAACAGGAGTGACATTGGGACATGACGCGACAAACTTTTCAGAGAGATGGTCAATCAGGAGATACAAAGGACGGAGGATGTTTAGCACCGACCATGCTTTTCCCACCCGTGCCCATTTTTCAAAGTGTGTGCTCGTCATGAGGAACACCAGGGACAACTATTGACGCGTCGTTGCGTCGTCGCCACAGTTTTCTGCGCGGTGGATGCTCCCAACCTCTTACGGCGTCGGGCGATGGACATCTGGTCGGAGCGAGAAAAGATTCGGACCTCTGAAGACTCCATGGGTGAAAGGGCAAAAACCTGCGGAGGCTAGGTGAACAGACGGCGTTTCGAGGCAGAAGCTAGCGAGCTTTCGGGGATAGGAGCTAGAATAACACATTAAATTGGAGAACCAACTTCACTGACAAAGTGACAGATCGCGAATGGGTAAGCAGTTATTTGACCAACGCAATACCCGTGGTCCGTTGCTATTTATTGCGGTAGAAACTGTGATGTGAACTGAATGGGATGATCACATAGTGGTCCGCGTAAAGGCCATGCTAAACGAGCAGGGATGGGGACGAGCTGCGATGTTATCTCCTAGGGACTCTGGAACGAGACGCAGGTCGACATGTCAGGCGATCGAAAGAAGTCACTCGAGGTTGTTCTGAAGGCCCCGGCAGAACGCAGACCGAGCAGCAGGTTGGCATAGAGCCTTGCCGGGGACAATGAGGTACCCCAAGACCCCAAGACAAAATAACAATTCTTTCCCAATCAGATGAAATAGCAGAATGTTTGTAGATCGCCACATCGGAGATAGTTGAACCAGTTCATGAAAACCTGCGTGTGGCGGCCGTTACAATGTGGGCTGCATAATCAGAGCTGTCTTTTAGTGAGCGGGCGTCGGGTGTCGGCGGCGTAGCGAAAGGGTCGCACACGGGCGTCGTGGTGGGCAAGAAAAAAGAGCGATGGAGCGAATGATGAGCGAACAACGGAACGGAAGGTCGGAGTCGGAGTCGGAACTTAGCGCAGAGCGACTGGCAGCGGAACGTGAAAAGTTCGGCATATCGCGGAAGCTGTGCAGCACCCAAAAATAAGGTTTCAGCCACCCGCTGCCGCCGTAACAAGCACGGGGCAACGACTTTCCAGCAAGGTAGGAACAGCGACGAACCATCATCCCGCATCAAAATGGTCAGTCTCTACGGCCCTTCGCTGTCCTCGAGGGCGATGTTGACCCGTGATATATCTAGGCCGACCAAAAAGCTACCCCCACCAACCCTATGAAGGAGCCTCGTATCGAGAAGCTCGTGATCAGTGCGTCCCAATATCCTGTTCATCTAGGCAGAGTCTCTGACAGCATCCTTTCCTCAAATCCTCAGACATCTCCGTCGGTGAATCAGGAGATCGCCTTACCCGAGCCTCGAAGGTGCTGGAGCAGCTGACCGGCCAAACGCCCGTCACTTCAAAAGCGCGCTACACCGTCCGCACGTTCGGTATCCGTCGTAACGAGAAGATCGCCGTGCATGTCACCATCCGCGGGCCCAAGGCAGAGGAAATCCTGGAGCGCGGGCTGAAGGTGAAGGAGTACGAGCTGAGGCGCAAGAACTTCTCGGAGACGGGCAACTTTGGGTTCGGTGTCCAGGAGCACATCGATTTGGGCGCCCGGTACGACCCCGGTATTGGTATCTTCGGAATGGACTTCTACGTTGTGATGGGACGCCCAGGTGCACGGGTAGCGAGGCGGAGGCAGCAAAAGGCGCGAGTTGGGTTCCAACATCGCATCAAGAAGGAGGATACGATGGCTTGGTTCAAGCAGCGCTTCGATGGTATCATCCTGGTGCGTATACCCTTTTTTTCATGCTACTTCATTTCTGACTTGTGCTCCAGAAATAAACCATCTCACCTCACACTCGTTCGCCTCGTTATCCATGCTGTCTATGCTAGCTTTTTATATGGCATGTTATACGTATGCACGAATCCATTTCCTCTCAAATTCAGAACGCAACATACAACAACGGTTGGGGTGACACCGGTCGAGATCAACTAATCCAGTTGTACAGGAACAAATGCAAAATAAATACAATACATATCAAAGCAAGGTGTGAGAGTAGTGTGTTGGGGTATAGGCTTGGCGTACGTTCTCTCAGCGTCCGACGTGGATAATCGACTTCGGACCCAGCTGAACGGCGCGTGTGGGATGTCCTTTGTGGTCCAGACTGATAGGAAATGGGTTTGCGACTCGCCGATGTCCCCCACCGACGGGTCCGTTAATGTTCCGCTTCTTCAGCACGCCAGGAGCGCCGATCTGCCAGTCGGATGGAAATCGCGAAGGTGGCATCCCCTCGAAGTCCAGCTCGACATTATTTTCATCATGGAAGGAACGGCGGTTCCTAGACGGAGGAGATGAGGAGACGACATGGAGGCTGCTGGGCACTCGTGTCTGCTCGTGGCCTGAAAAATCGCCGTCGTAGTCCTGTCGCCCGTTCGTGTCAGTATGACGCAGTTGTAGCGAATGTGGATCAACAGCTTGCACTTACATGACTGACGGCTGACAATGCCTCGCTCTGCCTTTCCTCCGCTGTCAGTTTCTCGGTCAAAGTAGCCACTTGCTTGCTGAGCTTGCGGTTCTTGTCCTTCTGAAGGCGGGCCTGAAAAAGGCGTAGGCTCATCAAAGAAACAGACCGAGAGATCTGATGACTGACATTGTTGGCATGTCTCTCCAGCATGTCTTTGTATCGCTTGTTCTCCTGGTCAAGTTCTACGACGCGTTTCTTCCACTGATTAGAGGAAGCGTGTGCGGTGCCCAACTCATCTTTAGCCTGTTCGGCGAGACGAATGGCTTCTTGAGTGTTGCGTTCTGTCTCTGAGAGCGCAGTGCGCAGTCGGAGGACTTCAACTTGCAGTGGTTCTGTCTTCTTCAGTTTTGCTTGGACACCTTCACGGTCCCGGCGGACTCTGCGGAGGTCTTCACGCAGGGTTTCGATCTCTTGCTTCTGCGTCTCGACTTGGGCGAAGACAGGTGCGACTCGCTCTCTGAAGTCCTGAACGGCCTTGAGCAGGGATCGCTAGAGGAAATATGTAACAAATCAGATAAGGGACGATCGGTGAATCGATGAGGGATGAGCTGCGCAACACGCACCATGACGCCCTCCTCCGGCCGTCCTCCTCGCAACACCTGTTCCAACTTCACTCCAGCCTTCTTCACGCTCACGAGTGGCGTGTCCGGACCCATCTGCTCCAGGCCCTCCACTACGCTCGCCTGGAAGGCAGCATGCGAGTCGACGAGCTCGATGTACACTGGGTGTCCGTCTCGTTTCCGGATATTGGCTCTGCAGGTGGGGCATTTTGGGCTCCGTGGGTTGTTGGCGAAGAATCCGTCCATGCAGCCTGTACAGAATCCATGGCCTGTTCGAAATTAGAGGTGGGTTTCAGGTTTAGGGCTTGTCGATCGCCCGTCATCGCGGTCACTTTCAAAGTCAAATTGAAATGCCTACCACAGGGAAAGATAGAGAACCTTTCAGCGTCCAGAGGGGTATTGGTAAAGCATATAGGGCAATGTGCGCTGGCGACCATATGTGAAGTGTGTGTGGTATATGTGTAAAGTGGTATTTGAAGGTCGTGTGGCCACTGCAGCCCAGTAGCGAGAGGCCTAAAAGGCTCAACAAACGTTTCTTGCCATGAGTACGCGACGCGCTCAACACGCGATATTTGGTTGTGTGTAGCAAGGCTCTCGACACGTGCCGGCTCAGACGCGTCATGGATTCGCGTGTTCTCGAAACTTGTTCTCTTACAACGACTACTAGCGCCTATGCATCGCCCCAGGAGCCTCAGGCCTTCGCGTGTTACTCCATTTAAAATTTGCGGTGCTGTTTTTGCCCTAGTTTATTCTCCTAGGTGTCTTCTGGCGGTTGTCTGTGGTTGTCTGCAAAAGTCTACACAGCTTCATATTCCTCGTCGAATCGGTTTCCTAGGTCCCATAAACCCACATAGCGGCTTCTTCTCACCTATCGACCATTGCTTTGGATAGTCAACTATGTGGGCTGGACCGAATATGCCCTATCTAGACGCACGACCTGTGGGTGTGTCTCGACGGTAATGACCTCTGTATCATCTATTGACGTATGGTCGACATATGGACCTGTTATGCTGTTGACCTCCTCCGTGACAGGACGTCTTTCCCGAGCGCGCCGTTCCAGGGTAGCCCTATCTTCATACCACCTTTCTATCCCCGTCTGACGAACGACAGTGTTCTTCCGACCTGTAAATTGTCTGAGATGCTTCCATCTTCCTGCATCTTATCTCCCGTGCCCGCCTTTTTCAATGTTTGGCGAGATCTCTTCTTGTACTCGGCCGACCATTCTTGGTTCCTTTTGCCAGCTTCCGAAGTCCCGGGTTAGTAGCTTCGACAGCACAGCCCGGCTGTCAAGAGCCCTTGAAATTTGACGCATTCAATAGCCACGGTGCTTGAGGTGCTTTGCTTTCCCGAAACGTGCACTGGGAGGCCACCTTCGCTGCTCGTTCTAGTTGTCGACAAAGTCCCTGGTATGTAGCACATATGATCTTGGCCTCAGGTGAAGACGGTGGACCCGAAGAACTATCTGACAGGGGAGAACAGAGCGTGATACTAGTCGTAGAATCGTGCCCAGGTTCGAGTGAGGCTCAAAGGTGATTCTAATGGCAGAATTCCCCTACAGTTGCTATTCACCAATGCTTCCCTGGACCGCACGGGCAAAACTCTGGTTTTCATAAAAACCCAGCTGGTAGCGCATAAATATCGTCGGCGGGGTCGTTGGAGCATTGGTTTTGTTGTTCATCATATTCGCCTGGGTGCGCATTCGGAATCGCCGCGGAGTGCATGGTCGAGTCAATTCTGAACAAGAAAGACCTCTCGGGAAAGACCTCCGCCTCAACATTCAAGAGCCAGGACTCGGAGAAGAAGCACAGGGTTTGAGTCTACTTCTAATGACGACTGCCTCGTTCTCGTTTCTGTATCCCATTCTGCGAACTGGAAATAAGGTGTAGAGGGGAATTCAAGTAACATTTAAGGTTCGATTGTGCTCTATGTATTTATGCATCTATACTCAGTCATAGATTTGCCGCGGCTTGCCCCGTAAGGTGTTTCGCTTAATCCGCGGTAGCTCTAGTTAGACTCCAAGCCCGGCCTTGCTTGAGACCTCGTAGAATAATCTATTCTCTATGCCTTCTGCGGTCATTATAGCTCTTAGATCCTGTATTACTGGCCGTTCTTAAAGGTTGCTAGTTCTCTCTTTTGGGAAAGTAACGTCGAATAACATTTCGGGGCCCATTTTCCATCAGCTCCAAGACATCTGTCAATTGCCACTAGTTGCACGGTACCGCACGGTTGCGAAGAATTTCATCTAGTCATCGGAACCTCATATCCAAGTCACTTTTCCCTTGGGTTGACTCAACGGCACAACCGCGGTTCACTAGTCCTACGGGTCTTCGTCCGCATGAGTCATTTTTTACGTCGTCTACCCAGATTGTCAGTGAGGCTGATCCGACGTCATCTAGAGGGGTGCTATTTGTAGATACACCATCCTAGACAATTTTACAGAGCTTAGAGTATCCTCCCAATAATTTCCGCGTTGCGGCCGGGAGCTGCACTGCTATTTTTGGCGCTGTAGCCACAGACTCCACTGGAACCATGAAGAGATTGCGTGGGGCCGCGCCGTGTCTCCTGAGGCGACTAGTTCGAATTGTCAATTTGCGATATGCACGGACAGTTAGCCACATAACGAATCCATACTCATCCCTTCATGTTACTCCTAAAGCGCATGAGGTAAAGGCATAAATAGCATCAGAATTCCTTACTGGAGATTAATTATGCAAGAGTAGAACCGGAACAGCATGATCACTATTCTCGACTACCGACAGCCGGAGGTTTTCGACCACGCCAATCGATATGGAGGCAGTCTCATGCGTCATAGTTAAATGCACGATGTACCCAGCCTCTACGATCTGGCTTGAAGGTTCCGCCAATTCGTACCGTGGAATATTTGAACAGGACGTAATATCGACGGGGTTGGGCCAGTATGATTGTGTAGCCTCAGTTTACTCAATGCCAGCCCATCTCCTTGTTGCAATAAACTCGTATTTTCAGGGAGGTAATGATGTCAGTTATTTGAATTTCTTACTGGGCATTCTTGGACCAGGAATCAGATTCCGATCACGCTGGAACCATGGCCTTCTGGGTCTTCACCCCCGTGTTGCAATCATAACGGCTCCAACTGTGGGCCAACTTTGTCTGACTCACAGATGAGTCCATTGACAAGCGAAGGTGCCGCGAATTCATTGCGATACAAACGGATAGGCTTAATCTTGTCTGCGCACTAGTATAAGAGACCCAGTCCTATAGAATAGTCTGTTAAATACACCCTCAGCCACGACACCTCTCTCATAAATTCGAGCTTTCAGAGCTCTTACGACCCATCTAGTTCTCTATGTGGCAGAAGGTTGTGCCCATACTTGAATGTACGCCTTTCTTTATACGCCTGGCAGTGGCGATAGTCTTCGCAAATCCCTGACTTCATTTTTGTATGAGGAGCGGAACATGGAGTGTAGGCTCATCTATTGATTTTTTTGTGCTAACAAGCCTCTTCATGGGCTTTCAGACGAAGACTCGTCTTTTGGCATGCCACGTTCGGCCCCCGTCCGTGGTCAAGTGGTCAAGTGATGCTTTTTCACTTTGAGACGCGCTCCATTCTCTTGGCAAAATACGTAAGTGTCTCCCCTTTTGCAGATGGCATGATGGCCATATTTTTATCGACATCGTCTGAATGGTGTACGCCACCTGCAGTAACCAAAAGATTGCTGAAGCCTTAGCTTTCCCTTTCCCATCCCGTGCTCACGCTGACTTGCTCTTCGACGTTCAATTCAGGCATGCGGAGGACAAACTTATTTAGAGGTCTCAAAGGATTGTAATACCGGAGCGCTATTAGGTGGGAAGGCAGGAACCCAGGGAGTAACGCGATAGTCCGGGGAAGTCCCACAACAAAACCCTTATAGATGTATTTATCTCCCGGATTAGGAAATAGCTGTGCCTAACTTGAACAAACTCAGTCACCCAAAGTATTACCTAAGCTGCCTGATGAATGCGCCACCCGCGAGCAGAGAATAATCCTGGAGCCCTTCAGTAGCCTCCGACGTGAACCCTGTAGGTAATTGCAAGCATCAGCCCACCATGTGGCTCTTGTGTGAGTCCCACAAAGTCCCGGCCTTCCAACAGCCTTCCCTCTCAATCATGATGATCGATCCGGACCCAGAGCACGGCATGTCATGTACCTCTTGACCTCCGTATTTGCCGTCATGTGTCAAAAAGCTTGCCTGTTTTCTTTGGGCGTGAAACCGTTCTCATCTAGTAAGCTTCACTCCCCACGAAAGCACTCAAGGGGGTATTAATTGGTCACCTGTTTTTTGGACGGGTCCGCAGGGCGATACAGAGTCACTGTACATGATCTCCGAGTCACCTCCGGTTCTAGAATGGCTTAACGGTTCGAGGGTGTCTGTTTAGCCTAGCTTCTCACTCTCGTCGACTCAGTCCTCAACGTTTTTTAATTATCGGATTACAATTGTCGCCCCAGGCGATAAAGGACGGCGATATTAGGCCAGGTTGACGTTGAGTCCCAGAGAAGGGTATAACAGGAGAAGTAACCCACAGTCGCTGTGCGCAAAGTCTTCTCGCATATCACGTTTGAACGGTACGCCCGAAATTCCAGGTCGCAGCAGGCCACATGCATCCAGCACTCCCAGTTATTTAAATCTCAAAGGTTGGCTGTCAACGCCTTTCTTGTTACGTGCTGGATAGTCTTCCACGAGACGGTCGTCGACAGAAGCAGTTTAACAGCGTTGATGGGGCTCGGGGGATCACACTCTAGCTGAAGTGAGTTTTCGTCTATTCTGTTCGTCTCCAGTAAATTCATGGCCGGATGCCCTGGCGCCAGGCACCGGCGCGAGTCAAGCTTCAATGTGCCCTCATCCACCTCCGCCAATTGGACTTCCCTAGGACTACGCCGGTAGCATTGGGCTTCATTGCCGGTGAAAATTACGAGTGGCGGCACCGAGGACACGAGTCACCAACACGTTTGATAACCTAGGAAAGCAGTCACGAATGAGCGACGTCGTCCAGGTTGACCTCGATGGCCTGTAAATCAGATACAGCCGCCATGAATCGCCGCAGTTCAAGAGTTCCCAAGCCTTAGCAAATGTGGAGGTGCACCCTTAGGCTGCCAATTCTATAGGTGCGAACCGACCTTCTTGTCCCTCCTCGCCCTCGTTTTCATATGGTACAAAATTACTGAATCCGTTCATTATGCAAGGACTTGTGCGACCTGGTTGACACACGTCGCTGACGAAACCCCACGGCCTTCAAAGCCAGCTACAATATTGACGACAACGAACTTGAACGAAGTGCTCGTCGAATTCTACATCCCTGGCCGCTCTAACCCCCATCAGCCCGAAATACCACACACACACACACACACTCGCCTATATCGAGGCTTCAATGCGAAGTTCGCAAATGACGCCTGCAGCAAGTAGCGCGCGAAGGAACAGGTCGGTGGGTGTGATAGCTGACGCTGAAGATTTATTCGTGGGGCATCTGCTTTGCAGTGTATTCTCACCACTTGCAAGAGGACTCACAATTATTGCTGCTACCGCCAGGATACCCCGCAACTTGGAAGTGCGTCTTCGACGATTTTGGAGAAGGAAGCGCCCTCCTGTCGAAATCCCATTAAGAGACGACCGGATCGTCATTTTGTTCTGTTTTTGTTTCAGCCAAGATGGAAATTCATGGAAGTGGTAATCAGCTGGAAGACAAGGAGTGTACGCCAATACTAATGAAGTAACGATTTTCGAGTAGAATAATCACAACATACAACCTAGGAGATCATGGCGGGAACCTCTGCGTGAACTTGGACATGTTCCCAGTGGGGCACACTTACGGATTTTACGAGCATCTAATATTTCGCTCTCATTTCTCAGATTTTCCGAAGGATCGAGTGCCCGTGTCTTGAGAGAAACTCTGAAAGCAGCAGATGTATTGAATGCATTCCCTGATGTTCCCCAGGATCTTTGCCAAAAGACATTCTCACGCAATTAAATCTCTTCACTTTCCAACATAGAATGCAGCTTGAGCGTTGTAATGGAGCTATCTTCACCGGGTTGGACTTCTCACGAATTTCGACCTTTGGAATTGAGAGCGAGAGGAGCACGGCCCGGCGGCGTAAGTAGTCTCCATTTGATCCAAATGATCTCTTGGCATCAGTATCGCTCTGTCCATCGTGCTTCCATCTTCAATCACACTCTGATTCGCTGTTACACTTGCCCATCATCGAGACCGCTCCGTGACCTGTAAGGCCTGTAAGGTTTTGACGTCTTTAGCAGTTTTGTGGCCTTTGGCTTACTTCCCATCCCCCCAGATAAATTTAACGGCAAATCTGGGACAAGGAGACCGCTCACCCGTACATGACAGGACATCGGGCAGGCGCTTAAGAGGCTTCTTCTCAAGCTGGGCTCTTTACACCTCACCATTCTTGATACGGAACAAATGGGGAAAGGCGCTCTACACGGCGTTTCATTCAAATCAGGAGTGAGAAATCAGCAGACGGCCATGGCGAGCCATCGGCCACTCTCAGCCTTCTCTCATCTTCAACGTTAACACTACACTGCTTTCAAGTCCTAACGAGGGCTTCTGTATAGGAGGAGAGTCTGGATGACTACACGTTGGGTTGTGGTCGATGACACAGCTAGCGGCTTCTCGTATTCCTCTGGCTGGAGCCTCGTGAGCGGGGCCGATTGGGACAAGCAAGGAAATTTTGGGCCGACGTACCTCAATAGCTTGCATTCGACGACGGCCAGCGAGGCGAGCTTCACTTATACTTATACTGGTGCGTGTCCATATTTTTGTTTGATTTTCGTCTCTGCTCACACTCGGGTCGATGAAGGATCTCGTGGAAGGGTGTATGGGACGACGAACATCAGGAACAAGGAGGACCCAACATGGGAGTGCTTTGTGGATGGTACCAAGATTCCGACGGGCGACCCCTTCCAGTATACCGAGAACAACTGGGTCCTGTGTTCATGGAATAACGTAGCTGATGGACGACATACAGTGAGGGTAGTTGCAAGGAGTCAAGGACGCAACTTCCTGTTCGACCGTTTCGAATACGTCCCTTCGTCATCCACGAACATTCAAAACGCCGTAATCTCAGCGAGCTTTTCCGATTCTGCTCTTCAGTATAGCTCTGGTTGGGGGACATTAGGGAACATTGCACGCCATGCGCCTGCAGCTGGAGCGACTCTTACAATTCCATTCTATGGTGTGTATCAATGCATGTGTTCAATCATAATGGTTACTGATTGAACACTGGTTTTCTAACAGGAACTGGGGTAAAATGGGTCGGCTATATCCCTATTGAACTGCCGAAAGGACCTTCGACAGCAGAATACTCCCTCGACGGCGGCCCAGTGACCACTTTTACGGTCCCAGGATCCTACGGTGGTGTCTCACAGTACAACCAATACGTGCTGCAAGTAAACGGGCTCAGTCGCGGCCAGCACACGCTGAGGGTGACGAGTCGAGGCACAACTTCCCAAACACCTCTTGTTTTATGCAATCTCTTCTTTGAAGGATCGGCCTCCCAGCCACCGTCTGCCGCTCCTCCTACATCACCGCCCACCAACAACCCCACTACATCCGTCACTAACGGCCGCGACACAGGTGTTGGAAGTGCGACTACTCCTGGCCTGTCGCAACAGACAATCACGACTGTCGTCGACGGGGCTGTAACAATAACACAGGTCGACGCTGCTCCGAGCACGAGTACCACGAGTACAAGTGATGCGGGCGCCACCAGCATCGGCACCAGCGGAGACTCCAGCACTGGTAACGGCAATGCTGCGAATGGCTCATCAGGATCAGCAACGTCCGGCGACGGCACCTCCGGACAGACGATATCAAGCAGCAGTAGCAGCGAGGTGCCCATCGGCCCCATTGTGGGCGGTGTGGTAGGTGCGCTCGTCCTCATTGCACTCGTCATCTTCGCCATCCTCTTCTGCCGCCGTAGGGCGAAGAAGAGGCGCCACGTGAGCCTGATCGAGCAGGTGCAGCAGCCGTTCTACCGCGACGCGCCGTTCCCGAGGGGCACACCGCTCACTTCAGTAGACTACCAGTCCCAATCAGAGTCATCTGGGGGATACGACGCCCAACAGATATCGCATACTGGAAACAACTACGCCACCTACACCAAGGGCGGCGTCGGAACGTCCTCGCCGATGCAGGACAACGCATACCATCACCACCACCACCACACCAACGCTGTGCCCGCCTTCCGCCCGAACCGGCGGAGCACCGTAGCCTCCGAGTCAGGCGAGGGGTACACAACAACAAGTGGACCAGGCTCAGAAGCGAGCATGCCCAGCTCGAACATGTCGCTGTCGTCGACGGGGTCGGCGGCCCCGCTCCGCCCGAACCGCGGGTACTCGAAACACCAAGAGGCGCGCATGGAGTCACCCCAGTCGAGCGGATCTAATGTGCGGATCATCAACCATGAAGACAGCGGGATGAGACTGCCCAGAGCATCCGCTGTCCCGACGGAGGTAATTGAGTTCCCGCCGTCGTATTCCGCTTCATGAGATGCGTTCTACTTATCTTGCATCGTTCTTGACTCTGGAGTCGACGTAGCCGCTCGCTTCGCCTTTTCTTTCGCCTCCTCAATGCTTAGTGTACCTCAATCTAACCTCGATTATACCACCGCCTTACCACCTGCCACACTCCTTTGGTTATATAAATTTTGGACGTCGTGAACGACCATTTCTCGGACTTTTCAAAGCAGCTACTGTAGCTCGTTGTGTAATGTACGAGTCGTTTTCATGTGCTTACTTACGTGCTCATCGATTGAATATTGAAGCTTTAAGCCCTACATCTTGCAGCCGTGACCGCTGGGAACCACTGCATGTACGCTTGGCTGCCCCCTATGGCTAATCCCAGGAGCCGAGCGTGAATCGTAATTGCGCTCCATGCTTCTTCCGCTCCATGCTTCTTCCGCTGTCTTCTCATTTGAGAGTTGCTACTCTGACTCTATTTTACTAACGCCAATCTTCTTTTTATTGTTGCCACCGCCTGGATGCCCACCGTGATGATTGTTTCTCAGCTGGACTGGGATGGTCAGAACAGGGCCCACAGCACCGTTGGTCTCCTGGTACGTGCCTTCCTGGATTTGTAAACATTAAAGTTAAGCTGAAGGCCAGCCCCCTTTAACAACGCAAGGATCCGATGAATCGTGACGTGGAAACGGCCTGTACAACCATGGGGTTATATGACCTTGTTGAAAGTCATTCCACCTACTACCGGTGGCCCAGATTCCAAGCAATCTGAAGACCTCTCACCGTTACCGCTTTATCAGGTCTGAGTAAGGGATGGCGAACGGCAGAAATGTTGCCATATTCTGGGACTACGGTAAGTTTCCATTCCCTCGATTCCAAGCGTTTCTTCACGATCTACTTTGGTAGAAAATTGTCCTGCCCCTTCAAATGGATCTGGCTACATCATAGCAAAGAACATCTCCGCTCTGGCCCAGCAATTTGGGACCGTAAAGTCGTTCAAAGCATATCTGGAGATTTCTGAACAACTTCCACGAGCCCTTGCCATGCGCTCGGAACTACAGTCTTCAGGTGTTTCCTTAATTGACTGTCCGCACAACGGGCGTAAAGACGTCGCAGACAAGATGATGCTTGGTAAGGAGGTTTTGGAATCTTTTCTCACTCGCCTCAACATTTGAACCTAGTTGATATGTTGGCACACGCCATTGACAATCCACCACCGTCCACCACCATCATCCTCATATCGGGCGACCGAGACTTCGCCTACGCACTATCCATATTGAGCCTCAGACGCTATCACGTCGTACTCCTTACTCTGGCCAACGCACATCCGAGCCTCACAATGCAAGCGGCCGTCTGTTATGACTGGGTGAGCGAGGTCATTGATGTCGTCGACTCGCCAAAGAGCCAGTCAGGCATCACTGGCAGAGCAGGTCAGGGCGTCAACGATCCCCGCAACGAAAGCCTTGCCGACTTGGTGTCGTCAGGTGTTGCAGCCACAACTCGAAGGACACTGGAAGACGGAATCAGCCTGAGAAATGAGGAACCCATCGACATTACGAACTATCTTTCTGGTCGCACCCGCCTCAGGCAACCATCGCAATCATCTTCAACCAGCACCTACAACCCTCAGCTGGTGCCTCTGGAACGGTCGAGAGAAGACGCTGCTTCGACAGCAAATTATGTCGGCGGTCGGTCCATGCAATCCCCTCCAGAAACCATTCGAAAAAACACGTCAGCTTTTCTTCCTTTCCCCAGTACTCTCTGTGCGCCACCGCAAAGCACGTCTCGTGGTCCATTGTCGGCTTCTGCTCCCAAAAGCTTATTGGCTCCTCCGGCAGCATTTGACACGAGTTCTATTTGGACGACCTCGCAAGACTTCCCTGCACTGGGGCAGCCCGTTGTTAACCCCATACCAGCATCAGTGAATAGGGACCATTCTCCTGTCCTTTTAGATACGGACATCGTCTTCGAAGGAGCATCCCCTCTTCGTCCTCCTTCGTCTCGTCCTGCTTCAGCCCCTGTACTGCTATCACCACCACCATTTCTGACGCAGTCCCCTCAGCCGGCTCTCAAACCCCCATCTATAGCTGCCCCTTTGCCACTTCAGTCACCTCAGTCGCTTCAGATAACGCACCCTTCCTCCCCTTCGGCGACGGTTGACGCAATAGCCACCTTCAAAACAACAGCCCAAACAGCGACCACGTCGACAAATATTTCAATGCCGTCAACGAGCCCACTGAAGCCGACTACTGTTGCGCCCGCAGTAGAGGACCCCGATTCAGTTCCGCCAACTTTTGCGATTCTTGTCGAGGCTCTTCGGAACCACAGACTTAAAGGAACCCTACGACCCTTGCGTTCTACAATCGCCGTAGAGATATCAAAGAACGGCGCTACTTACAGAAACGCGGGTGTCGCCAAGTTTAGTCAGTACGTTGCTTTGGCACAGCAACGCGGTATCATCGATCTGGGTGGTTCAGACGGTGCTGATTGGATATCCTTGCGACCTGGGTGGGGTACTAAGGGAGTGAAAGCTAGTATTCACCCAGCAGATTTGTCGCCTGACATAAGCATCACAGCAATCACCGCGGGATGGACTTGAAAATTTTGTTTGCAATACATAGATATGATGCACACCCGTCCCACCTGACGCGCCCATGGCAATGTTAGTACAGCGCAATGAGACGCCGACTCTCGCCACACACGATTTATAGGCTCGCATAAGAAAGTGCGGGATAGGGCATGTCGCTAGGGATCGATTTCTCGAAGACAGACACCATGATCAGAGGCCACATTCAAGTCTGAAGGCGAACATATTAATTTTCTGTAGTTGACGACATTGCTCAACAATTGGCGGAGAAATGGCGGTTGGAGAGCTACGACGACAGTGCAACTGTTGTCCATATCCTGGTTGTATCGTTGTCGGCCTCTAATTCAGCTACCAGTTCATCCATGCTTTGTTGCTCTTCTTGTGGCAAAGGCTGTGGGTCAGAAGGGACGTAGGCTAGTTCTGAACTGAGAACAGTCGCAAGAGGTGTGACTAGTCCTTGGTTCCAATCAGCAGTTGCTAGTTGTGCAAGTTGTGTGGGTGCACAGGAAATCTATGCGTAATTCAATCAGCCTCGCAAGCGTTCTGAGCCAGGAGTAAGAAAACTAAGAACCTCATAGATAATGTGCTCTTCAGTCTCCAAATCACGCCTTTCGTTTACTTCCTCGGCGCCATTCTCGATCGCGATGTCGAAGAGTTTGTTAAATCCTCCGCCTACGCTCTTGTCTAGGGCGACTGTAACAAGGCCCTGCCGCTCGAACATGGACTTGACTGGCGTCATACGGGCCCTAAGGATAATATGAGCGTTCTTTCATTCCAAAAAGTCGCTGCCTGCGCATGCACACCCATATGATGTCAAAATGTCTCTGACGTTGTGAAGGGAGCGGTTTGCATTATCTGTCAAACATTCTCTTGATCCCATGAGCGACGAGGACGCCAGCCGTTGACGCGAAGCAGGAAACATACATTATCAGTCCAACAGAATCGTGGGCCAAGGCTTCATACACAAAGTGCTGCCCCGACCCGTTGCTTGCACCTCCCGCCTGTAAGGGCCGTTTGCCATTAGAGTTAACGTGTCGAAGGGAGTCAATTGACGTACTCGTGCCAGGGCTTTCTGAATGTTCTCCTTCGGAACACCTTGATCTTTAGCCGACTTCAACGCAGCAGCGAGCCGTATATTCAGAGCAGGATCCATGGAGCCTCCAACTTCAGAACCACAAACAGTCAGAATCTTCCCCAACGCCTGTAGTAGGGAGAGAACAGACTTCTGGCTGCTGTGATGATTTCCTAAAGAGAAGAGCTTTAACAGGGCGTCGGAGGCATGGGAGAAACGGAAACAAAGTCCTACATTGCTGGCTTTTGAATACAGTATGCTCTTTTGCCTGTCATTGGCTCCTTTCTTGTCCTTTATTTTGGACCACTATGATAGACGAGTCGGCGCCAATTCCACATTAATGCACGACTTACTTTGTTATGGCCTGCCCGACTTGCATGAACTACAGAGAATTGGCGGGTGAACTGAAGAGGGCAGACATCGGTAGCATGGTTGGAGGGTCATGGTGGTTTTGATACTTGTGACGTTTTGCATAAAACTCAACCCATCACGTGCGGGCTCCCACTGTTAGATCTAATCTACGTATCCGACTTGCACCGTTCCTGGCATCGTGTACCACCGGGAATATCTTCTAACCCTCAGTAATAATATTTTCAAGTGATCCCTGCCTGGAGTGTGCAAGACTTACCCCAGGATCATGGTGTTGAATTCGTCGGATCGTGTGTTATTGGCGACATAGAAATATTTCATCCAGATCTCCTCAACTCTTTCACATACGATATAATCGACATGAAATGTTCAAGGCTGGGGTACTTGAGACTTGTAAATACGGAAGGGCAGCTGTTATCTACGTGGTAATGTGCTGGGAAAGGTGGCACGTGAGGCGCTGAAAAAATCTGAGTGTTCAATCTCTCTAAGAGTCTCTTATGCAAAATCCTGTAGTCAGAGCAGTCACTCATCTCCGAGTCTTCCATCAACCTGACGGGACCGTCGTGGTCGTGGCACCGGAGCACCGGCGAAGGCATAAGCAGTGCGACAGGTCGTCAATTCAAATCAGATTGCCTGACTGATACGCGGTAATGTACTGGATCCCCCCCAAATGTAGAGCACACTGCAGATACTAAAGGCGGCGTGGCGCGAGGTTACCTTCTGGAATTTATGCCATCGATGATCGACCAAATCTAGAAATTGAAATTTATGATCGACGGTGTGGCGCACTCGTTACCCCTTAGAGCAATATCGGCGGCGCGGAGGCGGAAGCATTCACAGCGTCAATGGGATGAGGACCCCAGAAATTTCGAAGAATCTTCGGCCCCTAAAATCAAAGCATGGAAATTCTTCCGAATCGTTAATGACCCTTGCCAAAATATCGCCGCTGGAAGTCACGCAAGGAACTCGAGCTCTGGTGCGCATGAAGTTTTTTGACTAGAACCGCTCCATTAGCGTCGTGGACCCTGCAGAACTACTCCTTCCAAGTACTCCTTTCCCTCAGAGTTGGTGTTGAGAGGGGTTGAGGCGGTCGGAGTGTACCACCACGCCTGATCGAGTATCAAGTCCTCCGAGGAAAACATCCAGAATTGAGAGCAACAAGGCACCCTTGAATTAATATTAAAGACCGTGATGGTCCAATGTAACTGTACCCTTCCATTCTATGTGTCCCTTGTAGTTAGCTTTCGAAGAGATGTCAGTGCTTCAGCATCGACAAATCTTCGTAGATATTTTAAACCAGCTGGAGGACGGAAATATTCTCCGCCATGGGAAAGTAGGGGTTTAGAGCCGAGTTGTTGACGACAGAGAAGAGGTGTACGCTGTGTGTCGCGTGAATGTGGAGAGACGTCAAGCGAAAACCCCTCTCCCGATTGTCAGGATCTACGGAGCACAATGTCCGAACACGCGAGTGTCGGTCTCTACCTCATGGGGAACATGCGGAAAGTTAAAGAAGCACGACGCAAGTCTCATCTGGACGGTGTACAGCGGCACGGCACAAGTAGGCACAAGGCCACTCGGAGATTTATGGAGTCGATTCCGGTATCCGATTTTTATGCGAAACAACATCACCGACTACTGAGCGCTGCCGTCGGTGTGTATTCGATATGGGAGGTGAAAGGTCTATTTACATTCAGCCGTCTCATCATCCCTCGAAGATCAAGAAGAGAAGGAAGGAAAAGAAAGATTAATTTCAATATTACATTCTGTCCGAACCTCGGACTTTCCGATTTAGTTATGTACGATAGCAGCTTCGCGCCGATCTGTGTTCACCTTCCACCTCATGGGAAAGTCTGCGGTGGCAGAGCATCGTAGATAGGACATAGGTTGTCCCAAGCAGCTGATATTTGGGAGTGGTTAGTAGGCAAGGGGGACGATGAATGTTCCACTTACTGGGAGGGTTCGCGGTATTCACGGTCACAACATCTTCGGCAAAGACGACAGAAAGACCACTATTAGATTGGAGACAGTAAGCTATGGAAGATTAATCGACGGAAAATGCACTCACATCTCGAAGTGCCAGTCGATGTGACTTGGAAAGATGCACGGTCAGAAGATCTGCGAAACAGGTACAGGAAGGTGGTCCTCACCAATGCATGATCCATGGGCCCGGATTGTCGGTCGCAAATCGGATGGTCACATTGTCGCCAGCACCACCGATGTTCACCACGTCCCGCTTGATAGGGTTGGCATAGTTGTAGACCGAGCTGCCCGCACTACGGACGACATCGAAGGTGTGCTGTGATTCGAAGTCAGCCTACACGTGTCTACAGCTGCTGTGCTTTACTCACTCCGTGAAGGTGGATAGGATGCTAGAGCAGTTCAAGCTCTGTCAACGTCTATGAAGAAGGGAAAGAGAAGTCACGTACAGGGCTTCCGATGGAGCCTCCGGGCAAGGAGAGCTCGACCACCTTGTTGGGCGGCAAGACGTAGACTGAACCGGGAGGAAGCAATGCCGAAGGAGTCATAGCACCACTCATGATCTGTAGCAATACCGGAACGGTGGGTGGGTGGAAAGTCGCGCCATTTACATTAAATGTCAAGCTGGCGAAGTCGAAGAGAATGTCGAAGTTGATATTGACATCAGCAGCTCCAAGGGTCGGAACACCAGGTGCACCAGCGTTTGTGAGCGGGTGGAGGTTGGTCTCCAGCATGGGGTTACTGACAGACGATGTTGTTGTCGGGTCGGCGTTGGGTGCGCCCCAATATCTTAAAATGGCAGAATTGAGACCGCCTACGAAACCCTGCGGGCCGATGTTCGGGTGAGCCCGGATCCAGTAGTTGCCGATCGGCCTGTTGGTGTTCAATACAAAGGAGTAGCGCTGTCCGGCGAAGATCTGGATCTCGTCCACAACGAGTGGAGTCACATTGACTGCGTCGACCTCGATGATTGTCTAGATTAAGATGACAATCAGCGCCCCGGTCCCTGTCTTATCCCCGAGCGACGTACCATGGTGTGGCCATCAATCGAAAACGTGAAGTTCGGATCGCAAGAGATGGACACCAGGCGGAAACGGTACCTCTTGTTAGGCAAAACGCGGATGACCTCGAGCGGAACGGTAGGCCCGCCAGCATAGCGGCCCTTTCCGTTGATCAGGGTGGAATCAGGGGTTGGCACAAGTCCCGCACTCGGCGCAACTGAGTGATACCTACACGAGCAATGCATCAGCATGTCAGTCTCGTCGAAACAGATTATGACGTGCGATCCTTACCAGTCGGCGAGCGTGATGATCGTGGACTCTGTATAATAATTAGAGCTCACGTCTACCATCATTAGCGGGTCGACGTACCGTCGTCGAAGTCGTATCTAAGGAAAGAATCGTCAACACGCGGCCAAATGTCGGTCAAGAAGAAAAGCTTGCCTGCTCCGATGAGGGTCGCGGATGTCGTACACTACCATTGCACCTCGGAGACCGTCGCAGTATTGGGTGGCTATAAAACGACCCATCAGCGAACAGGAGCCGGAATGCCGGTGGGGAACTTACAGTGGTGAGAGTGATACCAGAAAGTACCCGCTTGGTCCGGCACTCTGAATTCGTAGAGGAAAGAGTTCCCCGGTGCAATTGGACACTGGGTCACACCGACTGGGCCATCGGCCCAGCTGGATCCTTTTTGGAAGAGACCGTGCCAGTGCTGCGAGGTGCTTGTTAGATGGTGAGAGGAAAGACAAAAAAGGGCTATCCCACAATGGAAGTACTAGTCAACATAGTCGTGTCGGTCAATGCATCGATGACATTGAGCTTGAAGAAATTGCCCTATCGACGACGGTCATCATCAGCAACGATATGAAATGAATCATTACGGGCGCCGTTACCTTGAGACCGCGAACAACTGGGCCGGGGAACGCGAGCGTGGCCGCATTTGCGCCAGCTAGGACAGTCCTATGAATCGAAAGGTAATGCATTAAGAATCAAAGAAAACGGACAAAAAAATAAAAGACTCACGAGCGAGTAAAGCCGTCGGGGGCGAGGACCTTATTACCGACATGCATATTGGCGATAGGTCCAATGAATGCATAGGCGCTCGAGACGATAGAGAGGGAGACAAACCCCGCGAAAGACCTCATTGTATTGACTTCGTGTGAGATACTGAGGGTGTAGATTCTGTACTGGGGGGTGAACCTTTATATCTGTTCCGACGTAGGCTGCGTGAGGAGGACCTTATCCCATAAGGAGTCCATTTGTTTGCGATGAGAGATGGGAAGCACAAAAGACGCGTCAGGGACGTCAAAACTCCGTCTTTGGATACCACCGTCTGAATGCGGCCTGCCTGTTCCTTGTGAGAATGAAAATATGGGATAACGATCGTGGTTTCAAGCGCACCTTCATCCAAGATGCTCTGCAATTGGGCCGTATGACACAGGTCGTGCTGTATCATGAGAATCGGGAGAACATAACGGCAAGGGTATACGGGGATAGATTCCGACCGGAAACGCGCAAATTGACAGGTCCGGGAGGCATTTGGGCGAACCAGGTACGTGACGGAGAGCAGTGTCGTAACTGAGCGTCTCTTCGGGAAGGATACAAGAAAATCTGCGCTTCGAATCTTCTCGCGACGTCGCGGGCAAAAAGTGCAAGGGGTAAATTCCAGATCTGTAAATCGTAGGTCCAAAGAAATGACGCACCCAAAATGACATGGGGCACTATCCGCCCAAATGATATAAACACCATCCCCCAAAACACGATCACCTCCACCTTCCCAGGACGCCATCATGCAGTTCAAAGCCATCGTCATCGTCGCTCTTCAAGCCCTCGCCGTAGTTGCAGTAAGTCCCCCTGTCGTTTTTTTGCGCCTTTCTGAAACGACCATGCGCCCTAGTTGGAACGCAGGGCGCCTGTTGTTTTCACTGCAGAGAGGGTCTACCACACCGTCATAAGACAGTCCCCGTTCTTGGTCGACAGAACCTCGACTGTCGTTTGGACGTAAGTGAATGGAACTTATCATCTGTTTAGCGCAAGAGTGCTCACAAAGGCTTCCACTCACCAGGCAAAGCGCCAGCATCACTGAGGCCCAACCGAGCACCGCCCCAACCCCAACGGTTGCCTATTAATTGATACGGCAAGACTTCCTCTGTACTGCCGTCTTGCCTCCGCTGAAGGGACTCCAGGTCCAGGTCACCGCGCTATAAATGTAATTCATTCTCGTATCCCATAGCAATTGTAGTAGTCGAGGCTTGAAAGTCAAACAGAACTTGATTAATTGCACCTGCTCGATCTACGATGGATTCACGGGCAAGACCTCCGAAGTCTACGAAACTGAGGTATCAGTACACTGCGTGAGAAAGATGAAGTTTGATAACAACTTCTCCTCTGAGGGAAACACAGAACTTATTGATCGAGCGCGCAGTCCACGGGCGACTGGAGGTGTTTGCCCATAAACCACGGATATGAATCATGGTCGACATCCCACAGCATTCTTCCAAAGTTCCAAGACCACAGATGTGCGTTTACGCAGTCCGCGGCACCTATAATTGGTAATATCAAATAACATAACGGGCAGCGTCATGCAAGTACGCCTGCGAGATTTTACAATGATGAAGATGCATTCGGACCCGTCGCATCTAGAGCCATATGCTACCTTGGTAAGATAGTCGGGTTTTTTTGAGAAACGGTAGAAAGAAAACAAGCCTCAGGATGGGATCACTGATTCTGTCTGGACATCCACGATGATGATTTCTGAGAACATAGACCTCCCGATTTTTGATTACTCCAGATGTCGACAGCAGGAATTCTCATTGAAAATATACAGAGCCGACAATCGTAGGATTCCTGCGTTTTGATTGTTAACCAGGAACTCGGAGGTGTTCTGACGGGAACAGAGGGGGCATCCGAGGGGTCCATGTCAGCGGGTTTGTCGAGGCTTTGGAAGCTTGGTTCCTGAGAAGGCTTCGGACTAGACAATACCGACGCATTAGCCGGATATTATGTTCCTTCCAAGCCCATAGAGCTAAGAAGCGAGCATGGAGGAGGACGAATCTGGTGTGTTGGAACAAGGAGAGTCATTCTTCGGCAATTTCCGGGGCGCTCTTCCGTAGATAGCCCTCGCCAAACAGCGCCACACAAAATGAGTTAGTTTCCACCAAGTATCTCGATTTTAACTGCGTATTCAATTAGTAGAACGCCGTCAAGAACGCAGCGCGCAGCTAATACAACTACTCACAAGCCTCGAACTTGAAACAAAACGCCGGTAATTACGTTTCTTCCTCGTTCTGCAGCGTACCCATTCGTAGGCTGATGGAATTTCTCCGGTTTCTCGTGACACAACAATCTCTGCTTCCGGGGCTGCCTTCAATTTTGACAGTCCTCGGGCTTGGCGCCCACTGCCATTGCTAGCGATGTTAACAATATTAACGCCTTCCAGGTGGATTTCACTCAGCTTGACGGGCGAAATCGTTGCGGATACGAACAACCCTGGATGCACAGATGAGCGGTTGTAATCCAGTCAGCTGAACACCAAGCAATCGTTGGTGGGATTTGGAACGTGCAATGCCTTGTGCTCTCCCGACTCGTGTGTTCCCCGTTCGACCACGCTATCTGTAGTCGCTTACTTTTATCCGCCTTCTTGATCACGAAGGATCGAGAGTGAGTGGTTTTTGTCCCTCAGATTGATCTCGCCACCTTTCATTATCTAACATAGACAAAGATTCGAATTAAGTATGACGGGCACTGTGGCCCGTCATCGATATAATGACTTCCAATTTATTGCACCATACTGTCAAGTATTAGTGGCTCTCTCCACCCAAAGCCGATCGACGTTTTCTCATCGCTATTGACCTCGTGTCATCCTCTTACACCAGGCAATTGGACATGCTATGTATGTCCAACTGTTTTGAGACATGGAATGATAGCCTGAAGGCTGAAATAAAGCCCCGTCTCTTCTTGTGGAGGATAGATTGCAAATATGAGGTGGGTCTAGGGCATCGTTTTGATTCTTACCATCGTCGAGGCATCTACCCGACCCGACCTCGTCGGTCCGATCTAAGAGGCGCCAGGGCCTGCGCCCTGTCTTACCACACAAACCATAAGGAGATGACGGCGCCGCTAACCTCATGGCTCACGCAAGTTTCGTAATCCTTGGGCAAAAATCCCTTTTGCGGCAGCGCTTCGTCAGCTCGAATGTGAGTGATATGATATCTCTCCTCGCCTAACGAGGGCCAGGCTAGGGGCGATGATATCGTTGCCCGCCGTCCCGCTTCATTACAAGGCCTCCCCGCCCAAAACCGACGATCTGCGCCATTTCCCTGCTTCTCCCATAATTACTTGCGGAAGGATGTCCTTTTTGCTTCCGGTTTCCCCTGATATGATCCGGCTATTCGATCCCATTCGCTCACAACTTACAAGTGCCTCACTCGGCTCAGTAAAGGCGAACACCAGCCCGGAGGTTGGAAACAAGGTTCTAATGAATCTAATCCCCCAAGCGTTATCTGCGTCATTTGTCGCAACTCGTACCCAGTGCCATGGCGCATTGTTTCACTTGTTCGCATTCCCTTCATTTGACGACACCGCACTCTTCACACCTGCAAGTAATATGGACTACAACATATCCCGCACACATTGAACAATCAATTGTAGGTTGTCTCGGTGTAACCTGAGGCTTTTGTTTGACACTCCAAGTTGCCTCCCAGTCGACTTCGTCGCCATGGGAGTCCAGACCGCACCACTGTCCACCTTGAGAGCGCAGCGACCTTGACACCTAATAATGATGCGCTGACCGCACCACCGACTTTTCCGAATCCGTTAAAGCAAGGCCCTGTTGATAAGATCTTTGCCCCCTACCCCGCACCGTCCCCCGACGTCAGTTCATTGCCGCTTTACTAAAATGTTACTAAATATCTTCACGTACACAAGAACGTCGCTTAGGCACAATTCTTGCGGCCGTTTCATCGCAAAGAGTACCTTGTCTGAGTATTCTAGAAGTGTATATTTCGCTCACGGGGCTGGAATGGACAAGGGAATGAAGATATGTCTTTAATTCCTTCTGTCGGCTTCACAAGACAAATATGTTAACCCCGCGCGTCTCATTCAAGAGCTGCGCTAGGGACTGTGCACACGATCGAGCTTGGATGTGATCCCCATCTCTCTACAAATGCCTCTTACCGTGTGTCGGAGTGGGGTCCCAAAGTGACGAAACCTTCACAGCTATGCACATCGACTGCACGTTTGACTTTTGTTGGCGGTGATGGGCGTTCGCCATTGTATTGGGCGCGGAATGCTACTGTCAAGTTACCTAGGATCATCGACCTGCCTAGGTGCAAAGATCACAGATTCATGCTTTACGGGTCAGGGAAACGAGCGAGAGCTGATACCTGCACTCTCATGCGGAGTGAGGCATTTTTATCTCTTAATGTACCAGAATTTTGGGACGAGAGGCGTCTACAGGTTCTCTGAAGTCGACGACCCTCTGGGAAGGGGAAACACCCCTATTCGGTTCCATCCATCAGATCAGGATAACAGACCGATTATGGCTATTGCCGCCGTTATCTTATCAAGAAGAAATGTCTACAGTGATTGCTGGAATGAATTGAAACTACCGTTCTCGAGAGGTCAAAGCACGTACTATCGTCCTAAGCCGTCCAGAAGTCCTCCCAGAGCATCATCTCGCGCACATGGGTGATCCCAATCCCTCGAATCAGATCTTGCCCTCTGACAAGCGCGAGCTCCCGACCCCTCATTCTCCGGGTCTTGCGTAACGGATCGGCTTTGTCCAACTCGTCGTCCGTCGGCTGTCTCTCTTCCTCCGGCAGCGCCATGGCTTGTCCGTGAGTCATCAGGAGCAAGGCATGGGTTTTGGACAAAGCTTGTGAGGCAGCTTCTGATAGTGGCGTGGCAGCGATGTTTTCTGGGGTGATATCTGGCTGAAAGTGCGCAAGGAGAAGCGCGGAGAAGAGATCCCCAACGCCCGAAAAGTAGCCGGGGATGAGTGCTACACATTGGGCATGTACAGTTGGGCGGGTGTTGTGGGTCATTTCCGGCCCGGGAAGATGAGTGTGGCTCGGCGGTGGGAGAAAGAGAGAGGAAGAGATGCACAACAGGTGCTGTTCGTCTTGGGGCGGCCGAATGGAGGGTGAGAGGGCTGAATAGAGCCACGGCTCGAGGGGGATAGAGCTGATTACGATATTGGGGACATGGTATTGGGTGTGGAGGACGTCGAGGGCTTGGCGGAGGGAAGTCATATCTTTTAGCTCTATTTGAGTCAAGAGTCTGTGTCCGAGAAGGTCAACGGCATTGGACCATGAGGAGAGGGTTCGCGACGCACTCTACTTCAAACCAATTGGGGGTGATTATGGTAGCCAACGGTAGCATTTCTCGATATACGGGTATCACTTCTGGGGCAACATACAGGCGGCCAGCATCTCCCATAACAGCTGGAGCAGAAGATTGAATAGGCAGAAAGATATCAGAGAACTGGGGACGTACGATCCAAAAGGTATATGACACTGGGCTTAGCATGCTTCAACTTGGACGCAATCTTCTCAACAGCTGACAAGGCCTCTGCACCAGGTATATATCCTATCATTCGTCAGATTTCCTGTGAACATTTTCCCTCCGGTTGAGACATACCGGTTAGAATCCGAGTGGGCATGAGTAGCTCATTGTGTTCCATCGCCTCGAAAATAGAGTTCAATTCGGCGGCTGTTGTCCTAGATCCTCCCGAGCGTCCATAACCTGCAACAATCCTAATCTATGAGACCGGTCACCCAATAACTTGGAAGATTGGATGCGAGCAAACTTTACCAGCGTGGTTGGAAAAATTCACAGTGTTCACGACCTTCAATCACAAGGTCAATATCTAGGATTTGGAAATCACAAACGAAAGAACATACATCGACGTCGTATCCCAGGCATTGGAGGGGAAAAACGGCCGCCTTGCCTCCCACATATCCGAAAACGACGTGAGATTGGATGCTCAACACTCGCTCTGGTCTCTGTGCCATCGGCAAGGATGCAGCTTCCAACTGCAGTCGCCCTCTATAAGCAATGGCAGTATGGTACGATAAATGAGAAGAAACGAGATGCCAGGTTAAAGCGGCCACAAAGCTGGTAAAAGTTCGAGTTGACTCGAGCTGCTCGGACATTGGCGGAGTAATCACGTGCGGTATCTCCCGGGCCGATATTCCGCAAGTACCTTCGTCTCGAAACAGACTGAGAGTATATCCCTCCTAGACTACTTGTACATTGTGGAAACTGGTTATTCGCACTACGAACTACAACGGTTATAGGTGTCAATTGGCAGATAATTTGTGCATTTTGCGTGAGCCCTAGCCCCATGTTCCGATGTTCCGAAAGCAGAAAACGTCATGCGGTGGCGTGACAGGGTCTGACAATCCCAAAACCTTGCGCAGAAGGTTGAGTACCGCCCTCACCAGGCCCTCACCAACATCTTGTTGTTTTCTCAACTACCATGTCCGATGGCTCACAGTAAGCTTACACTAATACTTGACTTGATTACGATTATGAAACTCATCATTGGCTCAACAGGCTAAGGCAATCATGGTATTCCGCTCTGAGCGATGTAGAGGCACACTTTCGACAATTATTAACATCGTCGGCCTCGGAATGGAGGCGTCTTTCAACGTCCACGGATTCAGCCACGAAGCAAAAGGGCAAGGCGAAGGCCTCGTCGATTCCAGAAATCACGGATGTCGTCGTTCACCGCAATTCGAGTAAGTCGGGAGAGGATGTGTATAGGATGGTGTTGGATGTCCCAACTGGCGAGGAACCTGTGTCACTGGAGCCTTGGAAGGCTGTCCTCACGACCCCGGAGCTGAGACAGGAATGGGATCCGTCGGTTGAGGATGCACACTTGGTGGAGGTGTTTGACCACATTACCCGCATCGCGAAGACCAACTATACATTAGGATGGCCTGCAAAGTCAGTCTCTGCTGAATTTCTCTCCTTCTATGTCTTGACTCTTGTCCAGTCCCCGCGACTCTGTCACTATTTCACGAGCATTTCACGACAACACGACCCTCATTGACATTACGACTTCTCTACCCCGCTCACCCGACGAACCCGCGTTCTTGCGACCGTCACCGCCCTTCGTCAGGTCCCACGTTACTCGTATGTTTCATCCTATGTACTGCGTATGGCTTTCTGACTGTTTGCAGTCTTCGCCTGGTGCATCCAGTATGTCCAACCTCAGCCGCCCTCTCCAACAGAGAACAAGAAGTCCGGCAGTGGAGGAAGGCTGCGGATAACATGCTTCTGGCAACACGACCTCAAGGCTCTCTGGGGCTTTGGATTATCAACGTCTGCTTTAACTCAACAGCTGTCGACCATGACGCTCAGCCTCTTCAAGACAGTCATCAAACGCGGAGGTCGTGTTCCCAAATTGGTTGGATATGGGAATGGTGTCTCGATCGAACGTGTGCGGTATCAAATCGACCGCGAGGCGTTGACTCTGGACTATGTGATCATACCCGACGACGAAGAGCACCATGAGCTGGGGTTGCAGGGGATGGATGAGCTACACGCGTTGAGGGAGCACAGAAGGTTAACGCGGTCTATTGAGTGTGTTCTTCCGTCACTTGAAGGATGGGACGTCCAGATCACGATGAAGGGTTCTTCCGACGAGGTAGAGAACATCCCTTGGTCCGCAAGCGCGATGCGGAGCAGATCCAACCCGTCAACATTCTCTCCTCCAGACCAAATTCTGCTGCGGATAACTCATGGAGCACTTACAGACGATGATGCCGTTCTGAAAGTGAAGGTGGTCATCGAGGTCTCTGGAGGCACACGTGGGCTGCGACTAAACGGATTGGCCACCAAGATCTATGACTTAGAGGAACGTGACCCCTCATCGCGATTTATTCCGCAGAAGATACTACAGGATGTGGCTAGTGCGGTCGACTTGAGCTTCCAAACGTCCTCCTCAGTTGGCACTGCCAGTAGCGTCACATCGTCAACCACCGGCCAACCCTTGATTCGGCCTCACACAGAACGGACCCCAGCTGCTGAGAAGTCGATTCTGTCGAAGGTTAAGAGGAACTATATCTACTTCTCGTCCTTGCTGCAAGAACCAGAAGCCAAGTGGAGGCGAAGTACGTATGCATATGATCCTTGTTCTTGTCAAACTTTTTAACAGATTTCAATAGCTACCGAGGCCCGTGGAGTGTCGATAACCCAGCTGGATTCGATTGATCCTACCTTGGTGGTGTATCGAGCTGAAGCTACGTTCGTCGGCGTGAATTTATGGGACCTGTATGCCGCCGTGATATCACCTGGGGCACGCACGTATTGGGATAAGCAGCACGAAGACGGCGTGCTCCTTGAGGATGTCAACGAACTAACGGAGCTCTGGCACTTCAGGACCAAGCCAGCGTGGCCAGTCAAGTACGTATTTTCCGGGAGGCTTTAAGATAGCATAAATAACTAAGTTGCTTATGTATAGCGGAAGAGACTCGGTTCTGCTCAAGACAGTATATAAATCGCCCACTGCGATACACGTATTCTCTTTCTCGGCAGATGACCCCCATCTCTTTCCCCTTATCCCACCTGCTGACGCCAACGTCATTCGGACCCAGGTCGACTTGCAAGGCTGGGCGATTGAGGCGCTATCGCCAACGACCACCCTCCTTACTCTCCTCGAGCAGTCAGACCCCAAAGGATGGACGAACAAGACCTCGATACCCACGCAGATGATCAATACTTTGGCAGGTATCGGCGAGTTCGCGATCAAATGCGGAGGACCACCCGTTGTGACCCGCCTGGCGGGTTCCAAGGCCAACGAGCTTCGATATGACCACGACAAAGGAAGCTTCAAGGTCGAATACGAGCCCTCGCTGAATCGCCGACCAACATCATCGAACAGCGCCCAGGGTGCCTCGGAGGGTCAAGACGACAGCAGTTTTCCAGGCATCGAGTGCGAGATCCGATGTGATATCGATACCTGGGGTGCATCACTGGACATCGTGGTCGACCCACCGCCTCAGACGATCACCTGTCTGCGACGGCATCGGCTCTCCGTCGAAGGGGGTGGACTGTGGTTGACGTTGACACACGATTCGATCTTTGTGGACGATGAGCGGCTCCTGGCCATCGTACGCCGCGCACCAGGAAAGGAGAAAGGTCTGGTGATGGTCAATGGCGCAAAGGTCCAGGTGGACATCGAGGAACTGCCCGAACAAGAGATCAAGATGTTGACGAAGCAGAAACGAGTGAAACCTCCACGAATACCGCTGGATCAGCCGCCCGTCATGGGTGTCATTCGCAGACGAAAGGCGGAATGGAGTGGCGAGGGAGAGAGTAATGGGACGAACTCGAAGAGCCCAGATGCGAATGGAACGGCACCAAGGATTTCCAGCCCACTCGCAAAATTCTTCACATACTATGTCGACCAAGCGACGACAACTACCCAGCAAGCCGTAGCTGCCATGTCTCCTGCCAACTCGTCTGGAGGCGCGTCCAACCTGGATCCGACGAAATTGCCTATGCAATACGCGCTCGAAGCATTGGCATGGACGCAGGAGTTCAACTCTCAGCCTCAGTCGCCAGATGGTTGGACGGTGGTTAGCGACAAAGGCATGGTCGTCCAACGCAAGCCTATGTCAGAAATATCTCCATTTATCCCGGTCCACAAGGGGTTCAAGGTCATCGAAGGCGTCTCAGCGGAAGAGCTGGCGGCGGTTATTATGGAGAGCGACTGTAGGAAGACGTGGGACGAACGGTTCGACTCGGCGTCGGTCCTCCAGTCGTACGGGGCTTCAGCAAGGACGAGTTTCCTCGTAGCGAAAGGAGGGTTCCCGTTCCGCGACCGCGGGTTCTATATTGCCAGTGTCATGGCCCGCGCACCTAACGCATCCCAAGCGTCACTCTCCCGGAGGAACAGCGGGGTAGCAGAGCAGTCGCCCACAGCACGTAACGCCATTTTCTGCGTGTCTGCGTCGTTCAGTCCAGACTCGGACGCGGCGCGTGCCTTCTCTGCAGCGAAGTACAACCCATACACTCTACCCATCGGTCGAGTATACGTCGATGCATGGATCCTCGAGACGCTCGACCCGTACACGAAGGAGAATTACGCCATACCGTCGGCACGGTGTACACGCCTCGTAGCAGTGGACTACGCAGGCTCGATACCCGCTGCTGTCAACTCGATGATCAACGCTGCGCTTGCGAGGAGCGTATTGGGCGTCGAGGCCTACATGAGGAACAACGCGCCGAAGGCTGCGCTGCCTATTATGCGTCTACCTGCGCCTGGTTTCGTGATTAGCGACCGACGACCTGAGGCGGAGCTTGGGGCTGCGACGTCGTCGACAGGTGGTAGTGGTGCGGGTGGAAGTAGTGCTGAAGGTGGTACCGGTTTGGGCACGGTGGTCACAGCTCCGTTCATGGCTTGGAAGTTGAGGAAGAGAGACGAGAGTCGGGTTTTGGTCGACACCAAATTCGATGTGGAGAAGAGGGTCTATAAGAGCAGTGTTTTGGTGGTTCTGCCAGCGAAGAAGGGTAGTGGAAGTAGTGGGTTCAGTGCTAGGGGGATGTCGAGGAGAGAGCCCTCAACCGCGACGATCGTTGGCCAAATCACACCCAAACCGAGTCGGCTCGTCCTCAGCACGAGCCCTCATGGGAGGCATAGGATCGCCTTAGAGTCAGTGCATTCAGACGCGGAGCCTCCAGACACCGGTACTACTACGAAGGACGCCCGTAGCGCCCCTGCAGACATCGCAGCTCCAACACCGATGCTACCCATGCCCGGGTCGATGATCCACACACCGGGCCTCCCACCCAGTACAAGCTTCCCAACTACATCGACTACCACCAGCTCGATATCCGGCCTACCTGCTTCTTCGTCTGCCTCTGCATCGCTCAACGTCCATCCGAACGCCCCTTCTTCGTCCTCGTTCTCCCAGACCTCCACACCGGCCTCGCCACCGCGAAACGCGACTATGACACCTAACGCACGTGGGTCGTCGTCGATGTCCGTCTCGCCGCCCCCGCGTCTGCGCCAGCGCGCAGTTTCGTCGGGCGCAGGCACGCTCGCGGCGCCCTCTTCGTCTGCTTTTTCACAACCGCAGGCGCACCAGCAGTATCATACGGAGGGGGGTGTTGTAAGGGGACGTACGACGAGCTCGGCGTT